AAATGAGCTAAATGACTCAAACAGTACAATCAGTCTTACATATTTGGTAGAGTAGTACATGTACATATATATCACAAAAATTACTGCATTGTACTTGTACATGGTGACCATGGGTACATTGCACATTTATACGTAAAAGTGAATTATATTGTACATTTAAGTTAAGGAATTGGGGTTTCAGTGCTGGACATTGACAGAACATGTTGCGGGACTTGTAATCCTGAAGTACAGCAGAGCAGCGGCCGGCAATGCCAAAGTTCTTATTCTGATTTCTTTCCTGTTACATACATGTACAAACACCCGGTAATGAGTGTTTTTGAGTGCAGTGGTAAGAGATGACAGAGGAAATTTTTGATTCCATGAGGCGAAGCCGAGTGGAGTGGAACATATCGCCTGTAACTGAACGAAATTATTTTTACCATTTCGCAAATGTGAACCATTCAGAATTTGTTTTATTCAATACATGTACCTCTTTTGTTAGGAGGACAAGTACGTACATGTTACATGTAACATTCGCCATTTTGCAAATCAGCTTTGTGTCGGAAACACTACCACTACCCACTGGTGGTAGAACCGTGTAATATTAGGCTATTTTCTGTCCCTGTGTACATGTACATGTACCGGATGGGAACTAGTCAAGTGAAATGAAGTTCTATTCAATGAGTACCATTGGTAACTCACTGACATGTGATCAATGATCAACCAATCAGATGGCAGAGCTTTATGCAAATATATCGTATAAAATACATGTACTGTGTAGCATAGTACTTGTATGTCACTGAGTGGGGAGTTTGCCGAATGCCTCAAACTGCATCAGAAATATTTTGCTTGTTTTTTGATTTTGCCATTTCTGCCCCACCCCTTGCTCAAACACTGGCCTTGACACGTGGCCAGGTACATGTACATGTAGATGTATGTGCTCATCAGCAAGCTTGTGTCTGGTGCTAATCCAACAAGATACCGATACATGTACATGTATACACACATGTAGTCCATGTCATGTATGTTCTACAAATACAGGTAGTTTTTATCTAGTGTAGTGTAAAATTTTATTGCATTTGCCAATGTTCCATGTACATACATGTACCGGTACATGTGCATCATTTACATACATGTACATAATTAAATGGTCTGTTGGTCTATAGACCAACATTACATGTTCTCGGATATTAAATGTGTACATTTACATGTATGCCTACCGGTTCCTAGACTTGTACTTCACACGAACATACCGGTAGGTGTTATTTGCTTATGAACTTTATTGTACCAGGTACATGTGTACATTTGTGTAAACTGTGAAGAGGGAAAAATGATGCATGTAGGTTTTCACTGTATTTCATTTATTGTAGAAGATTTAGGCATTATAATATTTTAATTTGGTGTTAGGTGTGTATGGTGTTAGGTGTGTATGGTGTTGTTGTACCGGTGCATGAAGTAACCAAGTTTTTGAATGAGCATGTAGCGGGTACTGTTATGTTTACAGTGCACTTGTTCTGAAGCTCAATCTTAAAGTACCGTATACCAGTATGTGTACATTGTAGCCATGAAACTCCATGCTCCTTCTAGTGCATAAAATTTATGATAGCGCCTATTGGTATACATGTATGTGGTATAATTTACATAAATTCATGTACATGTATGTATGTCACCGTTTGTTTCATTTTATTTCACCTCCATATTCAAAGAACGTGGAGTTTCAGAAATCTCACTTGATGTACTATACATGTATCAGTACCTACATGCACGTACATGTACAGTACATAAAATTTACATGTATCGTACATGTACTGGTACGTTGTACACTGTACGTGCACCCATTTACATTCCACTTAGACTAGTGCTGCAGGAACATGCATATTCACTTGACTTAACACTTGAGGTACATGAATGGTATGCTGTCCCGGTAGGCCTATCGCACACTCTAGACTACTGGTATGTTCACGTACCCTTTTCTTGTTCCTCTTTCTGGACTCTACTGAACTGTGTTTACGTCATTGATGGTAGAAATTGAAAAGCATTTATGTGCATAGTCCACATCAGTTGCATTACTGATATACGTGTACTTGTACTAGTGTGTACAAGAAGTAAGACATATTCCATTGACAGGGACCTGACACAGGTTTGACCAGTGCAGCTGACAGTTGGTCCCATGCACCATTTGCGGCACTGTAGGTATAACTAGTGCATGCATGTACCAGTAACATGATTCTAATTTACTCTCAAGGATACATGTACATGTTCCATACATGCTGTACATGCACATATGGATCTTTCAGCATCAGCTTATTGTCAAAAGCCCTGACCAGCCTTGACATGGACTGTTTGGCAGTAGATGCATGTGTGTACATGTACATGTGCAACACCTCAGAACAGTTTCTTCAATGTATTGGTCTGTCCATGTACAACACCTGAATGAATTTGTCATCTGACTGATTGGTCAAGTTATTGGCTTATTTGGTATATTCAACAGTGTGCAGGCCTTGCACTAACTTTTTTTCCTGGCTAGCCCACTGGGCTAGTTCAATGGATATTTTACTAGCCTGTATATAAAAAAATGTTGAAAACCCCAAATTTGTTATCAGCTGACCAATGCAGAATTTGACATTTCGGAAAATAAAAGGCTGATGGTATAAATAAATAAAGAGGCATGTATGTTAGAAGTCGCAGGAGTCACTGGTCATGGAGTTGGGATCTCTTTGCTCCATTTTTCCTTTCATTTGGGTTGCTTACGTTTGGCAAAAAATGCTACTTTTTGCTTACTTTCTGACCTCCGCATGTGCGCGGTGAACGAGAAAAAACTTTTTCCAATCAGAAGAGAGTGCTGTTTGCACACGGCTTTGTGTATACTTCGTATCAAACGCTTTCAAGGACTCCTGCAATGTCCAGTATAGCAAGCTGTGGTCAGTAAAGGTCAGAAAAATTGATAAGGCCCCCCCAAAAAACTTCTGTTTTAGGTTTCCTGACCGACCCTAACTTTTCGGCACGACCCTAACATTTTTATCGGCAGGTTAGAAAAACAAATTTACAAAATTAAAAAAAAATTTAATGCTGATGTCTTTCCTGCCTTCACAAAACACCTTTCAATAACCCTCTCTCATGTTAAAATGCTTGTTTTTATATGTTTTCCTACTTCATTTGCAGTTGTTGAAAAGAAACTTCTGTCATTTTCACAAGTTCCACTCGTGTTTCGCTGTCGCCGTAGTGAAATTTTGTGCGCGCAAAGCTCAACGCATGAAAGTAAAGCTGCGTTGGTTCCCACCACGCCGCGCCCATGCAAAAGAACGTGAGATGGAAGAGTGCTAATCAGTCTTTACGTCCTGGTCGCGAGTCGATTAAAACTACATTGGTGTCATACACGCATGCATCCATACAGCTGCAGGTCGAAAAAACAATGTTGCAAGAGGATTTCTTCAAGTTAATTCACAGAACTTGGTCTCTTGTTTATTTATTTTCTGTGCTCACATGTTCCTGCCATAGCACGTGGTTTATCGCCTGTCTGCATGCATCATGTACGCTTACCACGCGATACACGAGCATTGCTGTCCAGTTTGCCGTCGTGATTACCTGACTAACATTGTGTGATTGTTCCATAATTCTTGTGATCTGTCAACTTCAGAAATTTTACATATACATATATCAAGACATGTTTTTATCACTGTTTGAGACAATATTTGAAAGCTTTCATCCCCATTCAGGCTATTACATCAGTACAAAAAATTGACTAACCAAAATTCTGACCTACTGATACTATTTTCAAGAGGCATGTAGTCAGAAGCAGAAGTGGCCTTAACAGTGAAAGAGAATAGTGCGCAGGTGCGGTATCACGCCGTACCATGTGCTATGCTACACCAGTACTACAACCCACCAGTCTACTCTGTTCATGGTGTTTACGGTGGCTTATCGCCCTGTCGCGCGACCATCATGTTTCAAAAACACAAGTAAAAACACATCTACAACAGCTCAGTTTTTGTGATGTTGTGTTTATTATCACGAAGAACATTATATATTTTGATCTAAGTTTTAACAGGTACAGTAGGCTTATTCTGAATTTTTCACTAGCCCACCGGGCAACCAAGGAACCAAGTTTAGGTAGCCTAGAGCATTTTTCGCTAGAATTTGTACGCCGGGCTAGTACTGTTTCGAGGCCTGGTGTGACATTGAAATATACCCAATAAATATTCTGTTGTAGTGTGCAGGCCTGCTAGGAACAGTCCCAACACAGGTGAAAAACACTGTATCAAGTGCGGGGAAGGCACACTTGTGGCCAGATCAAACAGACACAATTTCAGTCAGGGCTTGGAATGTGAAAACTTTAATCACTGTTTTACGAGTACCTTTTTGTACACCGAGTTGAGAAAGTAACAGCAGCTACTCATACACAGAGGATTTGCGAAACAAAAAAATGAATGATTAACATTCACCTCATGGAATAGAACATTCAGTCTGCCACCTCATGCAGTTATCCTTACCATTTGGATTTATTGCATGTGATGAACTAAGTGACACAGGGACAGCAGGTGAGTTCATTTGAATGTGGAGCAGAGTGAAACATAACCTGCGACAGCAGCTCCATTTTCTAGCAGTCTGGTGGACCCATTTGAATTTCATGTTCCAGTTTGGATGGGGAGTATTGTTTCTGACATGTACGTACATCAATATTGGAGACAAAATGTCTGGTTTTATTTTCACTTAAAATTGAATTGACCTTGGACGGTCGTTCCTAAGATTCTATCCAGGGCCCCCCCCATTTTGTTTATCTTGAGTTTGTCTTGATACCGCTCTTCGCCAATTAGTTATTCTTTTGTAACAGTGACAAGTACACCACCAGCTCAAGAACTTCCCAATCTAGTGTTGCAGGACTGTTCAGAACCATTATCCATCCCTCAAATGATGTTTCATGGTTGGGAAAATTGATCAGACAGAGGTCTGAATGTTGAAATCACTGTATTGCATGTTCTGGTGCTTCCGTGTTCACATACTCTGTCTTTTTTTTTTGGCAGCAATTGACAGCTCTACTGACATAGTGGGCCGAAAGTGTGCATGTAACGACAAACCATGCCTTGAGACTAACAACACCTGTGTCCTACAAAACCCAGATGCCCTGTGCATTGCTATGAAGATGCGGAATGAACAGCAGGTTAGTGAGTCCCTGATTCCTACAACTTACAAATGGAGAGACTGTCCCTGTGGTATTCTGACTCCCTGTAGATTGTACTGTGTACTCTGACAGCTGTCGTGGCACATGAAGTGGCTTGGCTCTATCTTCTTTACTACAGAGATGGGGTGCAAACATTTTCTGCAATATTTTTACAGTGGCAGTTTTTCATGTGCAAAGCCTAAGGGGTTTATGGCCAGCTGCGAAGCAAGTGCGAGCCTATGTAATACCGATTTCTGTCTTCTGTCCGTCCGTCGGGGCATCCGGCTGTCCACCCGCAAATGCTAAAGTTTTTTCCTTGCAGGTCTGTAGGTGTTTAAATGTGCCATTGAGTGCTTGTTTGCTTCTTCTCAAAATTCCATCAGTATTTAAATAGTTTCATATGGCATTAATGCTTAGAAACTTATGAATTAATGAAAAAAATTATAAAAGTTGAATGTCAAAGTTTTGAGTTGTGCCGTCCGCCTTCAAATGTTAAAGTTTTTCCTTGCAGGTCCACAGGTATTAAAATGTGCCACTGAGTGCTTGTTTTTTTGCTTCTTGGAATGCCATCAGTATTTAAATAGTCTCATATGGCTTAGAAACTTATGAATTTTATGAAAAAAATTATAAAAGTTGAATGTTAAAGTTTTGAGTTGTTTTGTATACTTGCCCAGTAGTACTTTTCCTACAGTACATATGTACTGAGCACTCCTGTAATGTACATGTATGTATGTATGTATAGACAGTGTTCAGACACATACAAATGTACATGTACAGTATGTGGGAAAAATGTAAGGGATGGGGGGGATTCCAAGTGACAGATTAGGATGTTTGTTAGGGGAGGGGTACCTGTAGGAGGAGGATCATGGGGACAAGGTACATAGGATGATGGGGGTTGGTTACAAAGTGCAGAGCTGTACGTGTTCCTGGTACTTTAGAGGAATTTTCATTATGCACCATCCGTCAAACTCACAAATGCACTGCTTATATAATCATCCAGGTTTTGTCTGACTGTACTAGCTGGACCCACTTTCTATAGGCATTCCTCTCTCCTATAAAGAACTGTGAAGCCTTTGTACCTGTATCTCCCTTGGTGGTGGTCTTTGTTGATTTACTTTTAAATGACAGACAGCGCTGACTAGAGTACAATGAATTGTAGTGCTAAGTTCGATAAAATAGCTTGCACATCTGTATTTCAGTCGTATGTCAGCCAACCTTGTTAGTAGTATTTGTTTGATTTAGTAACCATATTTATATAACTTGGATGTCTCCTTCCTGTTATTACAAGAAAGAAATTCAAATTCATAGCAAGCAGCGAGCCATGGCGGCTTTGCCATTTTAGTTTAATACAATTTTGTGCTCATTTTGGCACCAATTTTGTGACAGTCAGACATACTGCTTTTGTACAACATGCATTTTTCCATGACAGGTCAGTCAAAAATCTGTACCTTTTCCATTGTGAGCTCAATGCACACGGACTGACACATTTGAGGTCATGAACTTCAAATGATCATAACATCAAAACTATGTGATATTGAATTGAAACCTGACATTGGTACTGATAATAAGTGTGTGTACTGTACATGTACCGTGTACATGTACCGGTACATGCATGCTAAGTTTACAAAACTGTGACAGCTGAGGTCACGAGGGAGCAGAATCCATCTCCCCTCGGCCCTTTGGCTGTGAGATGGTTCAAAATAATCAGGCCTTTTGAGATTCATCCTGCAGTTTCTTTCAGAATTGACCAATTTCAAAGGATCCGGAAGTGTTGTTTTCTTGGATTTAGCAAGTCGGAGCCCAGTATGCCATAACGAGCATGTTACATGTACATGTATACATTGGCTTGATACCTTGGAGGAATCTCTTGTTTTCTAACCTCTTGGTTCGTCACCTTTTCGGATTCTTTATCCAGTCTCTTTATACATTTTTTTTTAAGCTGACTGAAAAAGGAATAAAGATTCAGCCTAACCCTGATCTCCAGTACATGTAGAGATGCAATTTAGTCTTTGTAGTAAACTGTAGTATCCAGTGCTCTAGTTGGTTGGCACTATGTACATACACAAATAAAGTAGAACTTTACAGGGTGATGTTACTGTACACGGCCAACGCAATATACTCTATAATATTTTGTATATGGTTCTTCCATCCAAATCAGTTTCTCAGGTGGTTAGGGTTAAAGCAGATGTACAAGCACGACATATACATGTACATTTACATGTATACGTGTACATGTATGTACCGGTAGCATAGAGAGTTAATGACTTCAGAAACAAAACGCTCTGTACACTAGTGGCTTGTTTCATGTAGATCCAGATCGCGAGCAATCAGTGATCAGACATTGGTTTACTGATACCAGAACCCACCTAATGGATAGTGCAAACCAGCTTTGGAATCGCCAATTGAGATCTAGAGCCATGTGAAACAAGAGGCCCATGTACATGTACATGTATATGCAAGCGTAGATCTTCACGTCCACATCTCCGTGTTTCTGCTTTTACTATTATTCATGAGGGATTAATGTTTTGAGTTATGATTGCCAGTGATCTGTAGCTAAAGAGATGTGACCAAGTACTAGTCCACCAGTGTGTGCCAAACTATGGATATTTAATCACACACCTTCAGACTCCACCAATTATGCAGTGCCTAACAGTTACTGACTGCTGTGATGTGGGGATATACATGTCGTGTTTCAATGCCTGAGGCGCTCATGAGGAAATGCATCCCTGGGGGTATTAGAGAGCATCATACCCCACATCACAGTAGTCAGTAATTGTTTTGTTTCACCCCTTCGTTTAGTTGAGCAATATGTTTGTCTCTGAAAGCATTTCAGATTTTAGTGCCTTGGTCCATACGATGTGTACAGACTTTGTGCAGCATTTTGTCGCACAGGCCTTGCTTGAAAGCAATATCTGTACATCATAAAGAGCAATTTTTTTTAAAGAGAATATGTCTTGTCAAGCTCAGCAGACATCAAATTAGAGAACTAACCATACAGGAAGAAACAGACTTCAATTATTGGATGTACACGTAGAATAACTATATTACAAAGTCAACAAAGCATTCTATCAGCTGATTGTATGCTGGTTCAATCGTCAACTGTAGCTGTGGTGAAAGGACATGTACATGTAGCACAGGTACCAGTGAACAGAAAAGTCTGGTTAGTGGCTCCTGCATTGTGACTTGGACTGTGGTGCAGGGACTAGTCAGTGATATCAAGATGTGACATGCAAAGATATTCGTTTTTAGCCACTGGTCACGTGATCGTTCTAGGCCAGTAAAAATACAGTATTCACGATGGAGGTATAACAATTTTTGATACTGCTTTGGCGGTGAAGAGCAAGTATTTTGTTTGTTGCCGAATCCAATCTTTAAAAATTTTATTATTCAGTACCTGCCAGTATTATGCAATATTCAGCCATTTTCGAAGGGACCCTTGGGCTCAAATTGCACAAAGGGCCAGGGAAACTCTTTTGTATGTATTTGCAAACAGAGGGACAGAGTACACTGTTCGAAACATCGAGTTATTCCCTAGTTCTTCTGAGAACCACACGTGAATGTACTCCAGAAAGAGATTGATACACGGTGTCACCGCAATCGTTTCACTCGTCTAGTTTCTTTCACCATGAAAATCTTCAAGTCTTACATATTTTTGCCACTTTGTTTTCCTGTTATAGGCGTGAAAAGATATTCAACTTCCCTTTTTAGTTGGTGCACATCCTTAACATTTACAATTTGCCATGCGTTTTGATTTTGGGATTTCTTTTCAAAGCATGAATCCAGTATTTATTCATTTAAAACATTTCCAAAGGAATAATTATCTTTAGTCTACTTTAGTTAATTTTATAAAAAAGCAGAAAGTTAAAAAATTTTGATGCAAGAATACGGATGATGTCGATACGGTACACTGTAAATGTTGAAATAGGTTTCCGCTTGAAATGACACCGTACTTTGTCTGTAAAATTGCATAATAAAACTAGGAAACTTTGCAGTAAGCATAAGCACCCAAAAGGCAATGGGGCACCAAACTGAAAATGGAAAATGAGATTAGGCTAGATGCCACTATGCAAAAGTCACCATTGCATCTGACAGGTCATCATTTCAGTGACGAAGTACATGTATACCGTGAAATCCTTGTCGTTTTTCTTACAATTTTTCAGTTTTATTATTTCCACCTCGTGGCAAAATAGAGGTACTAGCAATGTATGAGATAATAGGCCACTAGAGGTGGCAAAATCTTGAAAGCAGACTTAGCAAAGCGTACCGGTATGATTCATGATGCTGATGATAAATTTTTTTTTAACCTGTCAGCAAGAGGTTTCCTTGCTGATGTGTGAGGAGGACCCCAAGGGGCCACCAGAGAGGCGTTTCCCCTGTCAGAACCCCGAGCCCAGCCCCTACTACATGTCCAAGTGTTGCGTGGAGCAAGATTACTGCAATCGGGAGCTGATCAAAGACATGCAGCTACTGCCCTTACCTACCTCCCAGCCCACAGGTGAGAACAGTGCGTGTATTGGTATGGTAGGTGCTTGGGTAAAGGGACCCCAACCTCTCCCCAAAGAGTTTAACCTTTGTTTGTTTGTTGGCACCATAGCGGACCTCTCCTATCTGCCATTAGCTGAAGTGCGCCCCCAACTCGGTGAAAGAAAGCCAGTTGGTTACAACCGGGTTCTGTGCAAAGACCGTATGTTTCGGACTAAATTTGTTGCATGTACTCAGCGTGCTCTGCGTCAAACGCACACAAACTTGCACGCCTACACGGTGAGTTTGTACAAAAAGCATTGTCTATTTCATTGAGAGACACGCCCTCTTTTGTTCGGCTTGGAGCGCATAGCCACCCCAAATTGGCCGAAATCCAGTGCTTTGCGGTGCGCAATGTTAAAGGGTTCATTGTGGCAGAACCATAGAGCTATTAAACACTAAGGGGCAGACTCATGTCCAAAATGATGCCTGCTGGGCGCATCCATGTTTGTGCAGAAACCTATAAAAACTGGAAATTTTGTACGGTTTTTGTATGGCTATTTGCATATATGTGTGTTTGTATTCTAAAAGGATGCATCAACAAAGCCCACGCACAAACAGTAAATGAGCGTTTAATTTTGCTCTGTATAAACAATGGAAGCCTGTGCGTGTATGCGCTGCGGATAATGTTGCCATGCTATTTTTAATCCAATTTTATTGGTACCTGATACGCATTGCAGAGTACATAACTCGATATTCATTTTAGCCGATTTCAAGTGTTCTACAAGCATGTACGTGGATTTAAAATGTCTCCGAACGGAGGATGAAAAGGTAGCGTTTTCATAATTTAATATAGCTCGGTCTGTTGAACCTAACCACTGTTACATAACCCGAGGTTTAATGGTCTACTTTGTGGCAAGTGCAGTGCTGGATTTCAGTGCGTTGGAGAGAGTGTGTTAGAGATTCTGTCTCTAATGGGTGTATGTCTGTTTATGTGTTCAGAATTGTGCAACTTGAAGCCAGATTATGGGGACTGTACCATGGAAGCTTTCGTGTGGTACTACAATATCAGCCTTAATGACTGCCGGCAATTTGTGTATAGTGGTTGCGGTGGGAATGACAACAAATTCTACAGCAAGGGTTCCTGTCTTCGCCGCTGCGAATGTGAGTGTCTTTTGTTCAGACTCTTTTAACAGATGGTTTTTTTAATAATGATAATGTCACATTCATACGTGGGGTGGTGATAGCCTACGGTGGTGGTTACAGCTAAGTTTTAAGTTAGGGATTGATTTTTACGGTAATCAAGATACTCCCACTCAAGATCAAGAATTGGCACGAGGAATTATTCTTGCTGTATATTAGAGTTGATTTATTTCTATTTGAAATCAAGTTGAGAAATCAAAATTTAGGACTGTCCCAATATTGATTTTGGTTGACCAGTAATGAAAAAGCTTATGCTGTGATAATTGCAAGAACGAAAGTTCTGAGATGATAATGATATTGATACAACTTAAGTTATTCGAATGGCAGAGACAGTAGGCAAAGGGATAAGCAAGAAGTGCAAAGGGATAAAGGGCACTGTGCAACGTGCTCTGTCTACAGAGTTCAGCTATGTAAAGACCACACAGTGAAACAGTTCAAAGACATGTTATAGTCGTTAAGTCCAAACATGAAACAGTTGTTACGCTTCATGCATGTGTACAAGTCACATGACCACACTTTCCACAAAACTTTCAAGACAATGCGACAAACAAAATCCTCTGGATGACGAGTTTTTGACCCGACTTGGAGCCCACGCTTGGCTCGCATGTACTATGAGGCAAATCTTTCAATGCGAACAGGCCAAAACTGTGCATAACGAGGGACAAACGAATGAAACATCGCAAAAAGTTTAGGACAAAAGTTAAGTTCTGACAGATCAAATTCCTGCTGGAGAGAGGCAGATCGTCATGTACGTCATGGCAAAGTATGTCGTGTAGGCGCACAAAAGTACGCTCATGTCTGGTACAAACGAATGAACTAAAACACGTTGTTGCAGACTAATATTAATGAAGATACAGTTAATTTATGATAACGACCATGAACAACCACTGGGTGACTTTACTGAGAAAATACAACAATTTAAATATAATGTTGGGACTGTGTTGAGCGAGTAGGAACACTCGAGGTTTGTGAGAAAGCGCTTGGTGTGGAAACCTGAGAGAACCCTAGACTTGCCAAAGTCTGACCACCAGATCATTGTGCTAAGGGTAACAATGACCAATGATATAGGCACATGTAAATTTAGATTGCAAATCAATATGTTTTAAGTTGTTTTTGAAGGATGGAACAGTTTCCAGAGCTCTGATATGGGCAGGTATTGGATTCCACAATATGGGACCGGAAATTGTGAAGGCTTTGTCAGTGAAGCTCTTTTTTAGATATGGGTACTGAAATGAAAAACATGATTAAAGAGCAACTCGAAGGAAAAAATGTTTTCTCAGATTTTATCTGTTCAAATAAAATATGACAGTGTCCAAATCGAATTGGACGATGTCATTCGTCTTCAGAGCTCAAGTATAACAAGCTAAAAAGGGCTTTTTTTCTGTTCATGCCAAGAAAACAGAGAAAACGAGGGGAACCCTCACCTTGTTTTCATAGTGGATAAATCCTTGTGCATGTCAAACATCGCATGTAGCCATTGTTTGTAGCCATGGTTTGGCATGCACGAGGGTTTATCCACTACGAACACAGGGTTCCCCTCATTTTCTCTGTTTTCTCAGAATGACACAATCTACATTCATCATGTTCAGAATTTGCATCTTGGCATGAACAGAAAAAAAGCCCTTTTTATCTTGTTATAGTTGTTATAGCTCTGAAGACAAACGACACCACGTTCGGTTTGGATGCTTCCATATTTATTTGAAGAGACAAAATCAGAGAAAACATGTTTTCCTTTGAGTTGCTCTTTAAATGAAGTTATTCTTTAGTGGTCATGTTGTGATGGGCTACTGTATGCCTGACTTAAATACTCCATCATTGGCAGAAAAGAGGCACATTGGTGGAATTGTTTCATCTTGGCCGTGGCGCACACGCACAGACTGGTTTATTGCACATGTTCAGTGCAGCCCATGCCAAATGCACATAAACTTGTGCATATGTACACAGTGAAGTCCACCACCAAAGGACCATCGCTGCCATGTACATGTAAAAGTACACCATTTCTTGTTCCTGCACGGACCGGATGCTGGGCATTAGTTTACGGGCTTGGCATCCAAATGAGTAATGTTGAATGAGCTGTGTGCACTTTGTGGCTCTCTGGTACTAAACTTCGTAGTGCGCGTGCGTCAGATCTCAGTGGCTACAGTGTGCTCTGGCGGCGCCAATGAACAGAGTGCAGTGGCTGTGTTCTTGGTCTGAACTTGGGTACACTGGACAAGGATTGGTTGACTATTGCACAAGGTATCACGTTTGCAGAGGTCGTTGTGTGCCCTGATCAATAAGTTTGCAGGCATATGCACAGGGAGGAGGGACAAAACACAAAGGAAAACTGAAAAATGGAGCCTCTCTCATTCCAGGAAATTTTATACAATTTGGACGGGAATGAGTTAAAAGTTTAATTTTTTTAGATTGTTGATTTGGGAGGGAAAAATACATCTTTTCTGAATGTAATCATTTCTCTTTTTTCGAGGGGGTTTCATCATTTGAGTTTGTCATTTTGATTATTTTTCGCAGATGCCGGGTACTTTATTGTCTTTTCATGTTGGACTTGTTAGCACTGTGATTTAGTTACGCTGTGAGAGAATGATGTAGTGGTGCTTTCTATTTGTGATAGACTTTAACAGCAAGCCGGACAGCAGCCCAATATCCATGGTCAACCTGTCGCTAGCCATAGCCATTCCAGTTACCATCATCTGCCTGGCGGCGTTCTTCCTGATGGCGGTACGCTGGTACCTGCTGCAGAAGTCGGCCCGCCAGTCCATCACGCGCCTGGAGGTGCCGCTGATATCTGGACAAGGCAGCCAGGTCATCCCCATGGGCTGGACACTGAATGACCTCCACAACACGGCCACGTCCAGCTCGGGCTCAGGTAAAAGAGAACTTTTGTTTTTGAGTTTTTTTAATTTTACAGCCCACAGAAGAGATACGTTTGCCAGAAGCTCTAAAGAAGTTCAGATACTTTACAATACTTCTGAACTATTTTTTGAAGTATCAAATCCGTGAAAACACACTGTATTGAGGGAAGTTTCATTTAACAGTGTGTGACTTGTCTCATAGCGATTGCGCGTCACTCTAAATCAAGCTTCCATGAACAAGACTTGAATCTCCCTTGTGACTACATGAGATGCCCTGATCATTTGAAATGCCATTGAGTTCTTTTGATTCACATCCACCTCACTCACTCGCTTTTCGTCAACTTGAGGGTGTGGAGGCCAATTAATTACCGGTGCTGAGCTTGACAAGGCCATTTTGGGGATAAACAATTTCCGGTGCACCAGAGCGCCAGCAGTTTCTCTTCTGGTTACCCCTGACTCCCTATTTTTTTGGGTCTACTGACCTTTCTGAATCCTGGAAATATTTCCACACTACAAGAAACAAAGGCACTTCCTTTGAACTTAAGCTTCCAAGAAGCATATTAGTCCCATGTATGCTATGCCTTCCTCAGTCCTGTCAAATTCTCCGAGATTTCTCGATTCTGAAGGATAAGGGAGTATTGCGGTTAACAACTACAAAATTTGTAAAAAAAAGTGGTACATTAAGTGACCCCCCAAAAATTCTGATTACAGTCATACCTCATTGATAAAACGTCCTTCAGACTTCGCAAATCACCTTGTTATAACTGGAGCCTTGTGTTGTCAGGAATGGAAACTATGAAGAACAAAGGATTTGGACCTAATTTCTTTGTTGTAGGCACAGTATTTGTATCAATACGGTGGTCATCGATTGTGTGAGTTCTGGGTGCCTTTTGCTTTTGAATTTTTCAAATTTTTGGCACTCCTGCCTGTCCTGTTTTCTTGAGAAGGGTTCCAGTGACCTCTCGGTGGTAAACAGGTAGAAGATAGAGAGTTTGGGCTTGGGCTCTGGAAGTCTGCACAAAGACTCCTCACTCCAATAAAAATTGGTTACATGTGCTGTCATGTTGGTCCATTTGAGCATTGTTGCTTTGTACTATGGTGGTCAGAGGTACAGTGTACATGTAGTGAAAAGCAGAATGTTAGTCCAACATGTCCAAGCCTGACTTTAATTTCGTTTCCCGTTCATGTGCTTTACCTCTGCTGTGTGATGTCTTCCAACCTTGCTTAGTTTGTGTACTGTACCTCGAATGTGTCAAACAAAAATATGACGAATGCTCCCATATGAGAAAACATAAACCAGTGCCACTTTGAAATTCATTCTCCACTGAAGAAAAAACAGCAACTCTAATGTGCATTCCTTCCTGTGAATTATGAGAGAGAGTGATCAGTTGCTGCATCATTCATGTCAGCGGAAGGCTTACACTGGGATGTCATAATGCATCAATTTTGGCTGTTTCTTGGCTGTGGCATTTGTGTTGTCTGCCTACATATTTGTGCCTGACTCCCCGAAGTGACAGGATAAACTTTCATTCCATTGTCCACTCTTTGGCCCCATGAAACTGATTCATAAGTACATGTAGGGGGCATACTCATACATGTATATGGAGCCAGTCCCCTATTCCGATCATGGATAATTGCCGCATGGTTACGAGTCACGGCTTTTGCCCTTGCTCACTGAAATCAGTGTCAGCTCCTAAATCCAAAATGACACCATTTCTGTCACTACAGTGTGACTGCCTGACCCAGTTGTTCTATCTTAGGGAAGGAGGCGGAAAGAGGGGAGGGCTCAAGCTCCCCTGGGGTACAATACCGTACACTCCCACAGTGCATGTATATGTACATGTACAATGTACCGTAGTTGCTCAAAAATTATATTGGACTGGGCAGATTGACTTGATTACAGCTACATACATGTAAGTACATGTAAATAACTCACAAAGTTGCAGTTTCTGTTGGATTGGGGTTTTTTTGGAAAAAGTGTGTGATCCATGCATGTAAAATGCTTGTTAATACTTGAAATGATTAAAATGAAGTTAAGAATTGCTTTACTAAAAGGCATTTTTTTAATTACGATGAATATCTGAAGAACAGGGCAGTACTCGTGAATGGAGAGAAAAGCTACAAGTACTAGATCAGTGACTTCCTATTTGCCAGGAAGGAGAAGACCACTGATCACATTGTAATTTGTTGGATTAGTCCAGTGGCCCAGTTATCATTTCAAGCCTATTTGATCTCTTTACAAAAACCCATGCTTTATAAGATCAAGTTTGCTGAATGCAAATCAGGTTAAACCCACATGTCAAAACATATTTTCAGAACTGTATTTTTTAAACCTTGTCTGTTTTGCGTCTTTTTTACTCCCAAGCAGCACGAAGTATAGGTTTTAAAGTTAAATGCGTAAAACTTTCATGTACCAAGCCAGATTCAAATACTGGTAAATGAAAATCACTGGTTTGTCCAGACCTGAATATCCAGGGAATACTTCTTGTACCAATAGCGGTACAGTACCTTTGAGACAGGCATATCTCTACATGTACGTCAACATTTCCAACCAGTAGAAGTTTCAAATGGTCAGGTGTTTTGACTTGTGAAAGCAACACAAAGTGAACTGAAGATTATCATCGCGAATCCTTAACCCTAACGTTCCCCATCCCATCAATTTACAACAACAGAGGTTGTTGAAATTTGATGCGATGAGTTCTGTGTACATATGAGACCTGCGACACAAAGTGTTGGGTTATGGCAGGGTGAGTACTGTGCACATGCAGTAACAGCGACGGGTTTTGACTGAGTGGATATGGTCGATATTGCCTAGTACCTGCTGCTGGGTTTTGGTGAATAGCGCTGCTGGTATGTGTGTGCCTGTACTTAAGGAGTCGAATAAATTGCTCCAGTGTGTTGGTGACCTTGCTTTTTTAAGAAAAGTCAAAGATAAAACAAAGAAATCCGAGCCCCCCAAAACAAAGACATTATTTGTGTAGCCCTGCAGTTGTTGGATCTTGAAGGGATGAGTACACAGTGTTCCCATTCCTTATACATAGTATGTGACCAAGTATCCCCACTCAGCCAAAACCAACAGTTCGCTGTTAGGGTAAAATTGCATCTACATGTACAGAGGCCAAAAATGCAAGAACGCACATGACAAAGATAGAAACAGCCTACGTAGAAAACACAGTGTTTTTGAAAATAATAGTCATTCAAAGGCAAACGAGGAGTAGCCAGCATTGCAGTAATGTTTGTACATGGAAATGACTAGCAAATGAATATCCAGTATCAACGTTTCTCTTGTGTTTAACTTGCAATCGTTTGACAGGCTTGCCTTTGCTGGTGCAGCGTACCATTGCCCGACAGATCACACTGGTGGATTGCATTGGCAAGGGTCGCTACGGTGAGGTCTACAAAGGCCGCTGGAGGGGCGAGTACGTGGCGGTCAAAATCTTCTCCTCTCGGGAGGAGCGATCCTGGTTCCGCGAGGCAGAGATCTATCAAACGGTCATGCTGCGCCATGAGAACATCCTCGGATTCATAGCTGCAGATAACAAAGGTTTGTGTAATCTGTCGCTTTCACGCCTCCAAGGAAAAAATATTGCAACAACAGAAAAGATTTTGCAAGCAACACTAAATTCTGTATATTTACTTAGATGAGTTGAAATTTGAAACAAAAATTTCTTATGTATTTTGTGTCTCGTTCCAAACCTGCAGACAGCGGTATGGTTACGCAGCTGTTGTTGATTACCGACTACATGGAGAACGGTTCCCTGTTCGACTACCTGAATATGACAACTCTTGACACGGCTGGGATGATCCGGCTGGCGTACTCGACAGCAAACGGTCTTGCACACCTTCATGTGGAGATTGTTGGAATGCAAGGTCAGTCCAGTACCCTCGGCCCCCTGCTATCATCTGTTCATGTTCCAGGGCTGCGAGTAATACCATTTGTACCAGAAATGTAATTAGACCAAATGTGCACCTACGATGTGGTGCATTTATCCGCTACAAGTCTGTTCCAGATTGCTCGGGTTTTTTTTGCCCCTCCCCCGTCCCGCCCTCTCACAGTTGGTCCGATGCCCACATGGTAACCTCCTTCAAAAAACTAAACTCATTCAAAAGGTAGGGAGTTGGTTATGCGTAAATTTTGCGCATTAGGTTTGTGTGATTTTCTGTTGTTCCAGCTGATACTGCCATAAAGTAATTGCATGGTCTTGAAAATTTAAGTTTTTATATTGCAGGATTGGCCTTTAGACATTCACATTAGTATACTGCAGTACATTACATATTATTCCCGAGGCATTTCGGAAGCAACCTATTCGAAGACTCTAAAATCCTCCATTTGGTAATTAGACTTTCAGATTCCTGTAAATTCCGTGTAAGGTAATGCTAGTTTTCCAGTACCTCTCAATTTTAAAGACCTTTTTGAGGATGGCTGCAGATTTCGTTATTCCATCTCAAATCCATGCGCATTAACACAGATTTGAACAAGTCAGACTAATAAGTTTTCAGAGAACCATCTTTGAATTTTGGTGTTTTGTTCCACAGGCAAGCCCGCTATAGCCCACAGGGACCTCAAGAGCAAGAACATCCTGGTCAAGCGCAACGGTCAGTGCGCCATCGCCGACCTGGGCCTGGCTGTCCGGCACGACTCTGAGCGTGACACGGTGGACATCGCCCCCAACAACCGCATTGGCACCAAGCGCTACCTGCCGCCGGAGGTACTAGATGACACCATCAATGTCAACCACTTTGAGGCCTTCAAGCGAGCTGATGTGTACTCACTGGGCCTGGTATTCTGGGAGATTGCGCGGCGGTGCTCCATAGGAGGTAAGGCAGTGTTAGTCAGTTGATATTACAATCGGATGCACATTAGATTGCATTGTATGTAAAGTTGGTATTGCTTACATGACTTGTGAGTTCCAGTATGATATCAAGTGGTTAAGGTAAGGGTGACGTAATGTGATCTTGTCAATAGAACAGTTTTAGAAAGAGTTATTTTTTTATTCCAGGCTTTTAAACGTGTCTTTAAGTCCATTTATTCATCTGTGATATCCTGTGCCAAATCAAAACAGGATACGTGTAACCGGAAAAGATGAGCTACATGTAGTCTGTCAAATACAATTCCAAACTTGTTTTGAAGATCCCATGATCAAACGCATGGCATGTAATAACGGTTTTTCAGCATCCTGCGTAGGACATACGTGTTACATGTGTGTGCCTTAGTTCTTGTGGTTGTTAGGTTCCAGTGTTGTTTCGTTGCACTACTTGGGTATCAAGTTTATGTTACGTTGTAAAGAGCCTTGGTGCAACCAAGCATAATTGTTGCCTTGGTTAATTCATGATCTTGGTGTTTCAACTGTCAGATTCCTTCAAATCGAGTCATTTGCTTAAAGGTGGTGTACACCATTGGTTTTTTGTCGTAGTTTCACAAGATTGGCTGATTACGCTGTGTAATATTCACTGCAACTTACATTCCACTCACTTGTTTCATGATTGAGTCAAGTGCTTTATGAAAAAACGAGAAAAACAGTGCGGCATTTTCAACACTTAAATTGAAGGTCTTGTAGTTTATGTTGCGTAAAATTTATGGGTTATAGGGCGTTCGTAGTACAAGCGAACATCGTCCGTGGGGTCAGGGTGGGAAACAAACATGACAGGTTCTCATTCCCTTAATAAAGGAGCGGTTTTCTTGGCCAGGAGTAATCAGTGAATTTACCTTGGAGTAATGCACCTCCCAGCATTGCGGATTCATGGAAAAACTTCATTCAGGAACACAGCAGTCGACTCGTGTCCGTAACATACACGTAGGCCGATACGATTACACACGTGCACCCACAATCGTGTTTATAATGACACTTTCATGTCAGTTCACACGTCGATGAAAGTCTAAAACACCATTCATAGTCGAGTCATTAATAATTATAAGTAAGAAAGAATTATGTCTTAAAACAAGGGAGGATTAACATGTAGAAATTGTACTTTTTGTTGACGAAATCATTGTGCTCTGAAACAGCCGCCATATTGGATCATACCATTATTATCTAGGGGTGGTTTTGGATTCGCAAAGTTTTCCGTTAAAAACCTATTCCTTAAATAAAATTCAACTTCACACTCATCCAATTCATTTTCTACTTTATGCCACTCAGGTTTCTATAATTTCAGTTCACAGTGTTTTTGGTGAAAGAATGTCAGTATATTTTTAGCTGCTTTTAGGTTTATCCGTTCATTAATGGAATCTCACAACATCTGCAAACACTACATATAAGAAATTTGGCGCCTGTTAAAGGATGTGATGTGCGAAGTGAAATTAACTCTATTACGATGATCGGCCGACCATCATAATAAAAGAGAACAAAATCTTTGTTTTTCTCAAAAACTACAGCATTCTGGGTGGAAATATTTTACAGACTGATTGAGACTGTTGTGTACAATCTTTGTGCAAGATCAGGATTATACGGTAGTCTTATTTTCGGGATTTTACCAATGGTGTACACCACCTTTAATGCACGCACCAGTTTGACCAGTTGGAATCGGAGCAAATGGCTTTGCCGAATCATACATCACCCAGGGTACATGTAGCTTCATTTGTTGATCTTTACATGGCTTTGCAACCCCCTTCATAGGTATCTATGAAGAGTACAGGTTACCTTACTACGATATGGTACCATGTGACCCGTCCATTGAAGACATGCGGAAGGTGGTTGTCAATGACCGGCAGCGGCCAACAGTTCCGAACAGATGGAACAATGTGGAGGTAGGTCATCCACCATGTAATTTTTTAGGTGTGATTTTAGAATAGGGAACAGTCTGAACAGAACTGTCATGCTGAAAGAGAAAGCTTTTAGAACAAACTCTAGAGATACATTTTTGGATTAACCGTAACCCCCTAGGGACCATTAAAATCCCTACAGTAGCGGGTGTTGTTTGGCTTAGAGTACTCAGTACTGCCAAATACTAAGTAACACTCTGAGCCTGAAGGACCTAGCGCTACAAATTACTATTTCTGGCTAGGTTTATTCCGTTGTTACTCGTACAGAGAACAATGAAACCATGCATTCATAGTGCCACAGCACTGTATGGTACATTGTCTTCTCGATTGTGTTTCATGGCTTCAGAGAATAATAATGTCATGTCCTCTTACAAGCGACAGGGCTGAGTGCTACATTTTACTACTAGGTAGTGCTTTGTAGCATTCGGGACTGTTGGGGTTAATGGAGAAAATGGAAACGAAACAAGCTGGTATTAAAGTCTGTCAATTTTCAGCTTCAGTATAAACTTACTCATTTGTGACAGATAAAACTCTGACATTTTTACACTATGAAATGGCCGTCCCCAATTTTTTTAAAACTCAATCCTTCGTCCATTAACAATACATTGCGGTTGAAAGTGAACATTGTGAACAGGAAGGCATGAAAGGCATGGGATTGTTTTCCAGCTTGCGTGAAAAAGGTGTGATAATGGTTTTCTTCTCTTGGAGAAAAGGTTGAAAACCTTTTCCCACCTGTGGCATAAGGCATAAAAATCTTTTCCCACTTGCGTAGAAAACGTTTGCCAATTTTTCTCCACTTGTGTGGAAAGGTTTGAAAGTCGACTTGTGTGAAGGTGCGTGAAAATAGTTTCCCACTATGGGAACAGATTGTCACAGTTTGTGAATTATGAATCCCCCTTCCAAGAAAAATGTGTGAGGAGAATTTCTCATTCCCAGATTAACTTACAGTTGTCATGTACTCAATTTTTTTGGCTTTCTGTTGGTCAATAACTTTTAAAAAAAATTATGGTTTGGTATGTCCTTGTCTTTTTTGACCTGTAGAATGTTGATAAAGGCACAGACAATTACTGGTACATTCCATGCCGTAAAAGTCATTTGATGGTTTTTTGGGGAGGTCTGTGCCATCATCACATCTGATGGAGCATACCCACACATTCCTACCTACATGTACTCATCGCGTGATTTTTTTGTTATCGAAAACGTGCATGATAGCAGGTTTTTTTCTTCAGAGATACTTTGTACTCTGTACTCTGCCAGCCATGGAGGACTATACCAGGGGGAGAAAAAACAAACTTAGGAATGGGGAGGGGAAATCTGAACACAGATGGAGTTTAGAATTCTGGGAGATTGTCTGTCTGACTGAGCTTTGTGTGTGCCCTCAGGGTACAAGACTAGAGGAAGCTGTATTTAAAAAGTAGAATCCTGAGGCTTGTGTGAAATTAGAAATAAAACCCAGCACAACGGTCTAGGATTTCTTCCGGGAAGGAAAAGGTGACAGGAAGTCGTCTCTTGAACTCCAAACACTCCGTCATTTAAAGCCACAGCGTGGTATTGAAAATGCTCTTGAGGCTGTCACATCCCCCCCAGAAAAGAAATCCCTTAAAAAACCGGAATCATATTTTCCTCCTGCTGTTAGACTTGCTGAACCTGCCAGAAACTGTTTTCTGCTCTAGTGCTTGTTTTGACTTTTTTCTTTTTCACCGAGTTCCTTTTGATGTTGCTTGGGTAACTATGCATTTTTATATAAATTGTCTCCTAGTCTTGTTTTGAGTGAAATGCACTTACATGTAATTAGGTTTTTCCTGTTCCTGCTAATCTTCAGTTAAAAATGTTACAAAAGTCCCTTTTGAGGAGAATTCAGAACACCCACTCATATTTGTTTTTGTCTGGACAAGTGGACATCATAATTTCCCTGTCTAGACAAATGACTCAGCCCAGCTGTCTGCAATAGATAACATGGGAACAACGTGAACAAATCTGCCGTCTGGTGTTGAGAACAAATGGCTTGAGACTGCAGTTGAAATTCATGACTTTTGGGAACTGTCCGCGTCTATACTTAGATTCATCTATAACTTTTATTTGAAAGATGCATTGGGAAGGTAAAGATCAAAAGTGCAAAGGATTATGAGAGTAAACTGTCATGTTTTGAAGGCATCTGAATTTCAGAATAGTATAAGATGCTTTGTGGCTAAGTAAACAATACATTTATTTTAGACATTTGGGAGTTGGGGCTTACAAAATTATGATTACTTTGGTGTGAGAAAAACGATAGAGTACATGTACATGCACAGTAGGTTGGTGGACTGTGTACGCACATACAAGTATGCAATGTGAAAGTGGTTCCTTGTAAAAGTTCACTGTATTAAAAGAGAACACTTGGGTACACAACCAGACATGCCGATGACACTGACCACAATAATTTAGCCTTTAATCAAGGTGATTGCTGCGAATTTATTCAAATGCCTGTGCCAGGCATGCACACAACTTGAAAAAAGACTAGCACATGATTCAGTTCACTATGGGCCACCACAATTGCTGTTACAGAATTGGTTTTTCAGGACTTAGGTTTTTCTGAACTTCTCTTACCATTTTGGTTGAAAAATAACACAGATGATGCTACCTTGTTTCAGTCAATAAGATGGTGAAAACGCCTGATTGGGGTCGTCAGAATAACAGTTCTGCAAGTTAAATTTGAATAAAATCTGGTACACTGAGTTATCTGATTGCACATACATGTAAGCTGAACAATTTGAATTCCCAGACTAAAGACACTGTTGCTACATTTATACCTCTTGATTTGGGGCAAGCTTTTGCATAGCAACCACCATCTCTGGAATGGACTGGTGCAAAGCGTCTCTAATGTACGTGTACATAGCAACAGTCTTCAGTGTGGAGAATTCAAATTATGTTCACTTGAATTTAAAGAACTCAGTGTACCAGATTTCATTCAAATATAACTCGCAAAAGGCTTATTAGAGGGCACCATTGTGGTCACACCACGCTTGCTGATGATGGCATATGCCTCCCTGACCAATAGGGTGCTGTGATGTGACAAGATGTTTGTCTTCCTGTTCAATCACACAAGCTGGTTCCAAAGGATTAATTTGTTATTCCTGTTACATTGTTTGTACATTGTTACATTGCTTTGAGTGGTTTGTTAATAGAACTGATCACATTTGAATTGTTCAAACTACTGCTTTTGGTCAGGGCATTCACAGAGGCAGACTGTGAGTAGTGTACAGTAATCTCTTGTGCCCCTTATGTGAGGGACGCACATCAAAAATGTTTATACATTAACTTTTCTGCCAACGATTTCTGGAAAATTTATTCTCAACAAAATTTATGCTTATATTTCGCCCTCACGCTGGTGTAAGTTGGCTACATACTGGTTCTAGTTCATTTTGGGTTTTCGGTGAAAGCATATTTTAGGATGTGAGGGAGAGGACTTTAATAAAATTGGGTACCTTCATCTAAGTGCACAGATTTGATTTGATTTTTTTTTACATGATATTTGCAAACATTATAAACTTTGGTCAAGGTAAATCAAAACACTAATGGTCAAACTCTGTAACTGACAAGGAAGAAATTACTTTCAATTTCGTGAAAGCAGAGAGTTGAATTAAGTGTGAGGGATGGAAAATGTTCTGCATGAGGGACGGAAATGTGAGTCTTTGTGAAAAACAACAGCTGATGAAATATTTCACCGTACATGTAGATGCATTGAACGAATCCCAACTGGTGTAGAAGTAGCTACTAAGAAATAAATTGACTTTATTTCAGATATTTATTGAAGATATAATGATGAGCCCTCAAAATAAATGTGAGGGACGGACAGCATCAGCGTTAGGGACGGACATTACAACCAATTAAGTTTCAACAAAGTTTTGTTAGTTTGCTTTCCACCATGTGGGACCATTCCACTAGTCAGGATGGATGCAACCTGACAAAAAGACTGGGTGGGTTGCATTTCCTACGGAGATTTCTCCTGATCAGGAGAACATCACATGAACATGTACAGGTACCTTTAAAATGCTGAACGTTGGATTTTTGTCAACTGCAGTTGACGCACATGGGAATTTTTCATGTTAAAACCGTTGGGATGGAAGGAGAAAGTTGGACCTTCCACACACCTTTACAGTCTTTGGGTCTGCAACATCAAACCCAGCAAGTGTGGCTTACAGGTCATGATGCTACTGGCCTGAGAATTATTGTAGGGGATGGACATGATTGAAATGGTATAACTGTAGGCAGTAAAAGCTGAGATGGAAACAATTTTGTTTGTGAGTAGTGATTAATAATTATAAATAGATAGGGGACATTTTATTGCCATTTGATTTAGTACGTGTCTGGGAGAAAATCTTTTGATGCTCATTCATGAGGGACGGACAAAAGTACAAATGGTGCCCTCCTGTTAACAACTGTTGGGCATTCGGTTTAATCCCACCTTATTTTTACAGTAGGACAGCATGAAAGTTGTCAGTATGCAAACAATTTCAAGTCTTGAGTCCTACTCTTTCCTGAATTAGAAAACCTGCTTTTTAGAATGAAGCTTCTGTCTGTCCCTCACATTTCATAATTGTTAGTGCTATGTTGAAGGCAAGGTTTGTTCGTGTATTAATTAGTAGGGATTTTATTAAAATTCCTGTGAAGTTTAGAAAAATATAATTCTTTCTCAGTGACATGAAACACTTTTTAAGAGTTATCGATGGATTTTAATTTTTTCATTAAATGTCACCTAGTTTTGGATCACCCCCAACCCTGTACGCACCACTTTCATGGATTACTCTTGTGCCTAATGACTAAAGGCTATCGATTCTTCCAAAAGGCTATCAAATTGTTTGCCTTAAGGTTGTGCCCGTGTTGTATGGCCAAAGTTGCACAGACACACCTTGCTTATTGTGCTTGCGTTACAAGCACAGCTGTAAAGAGTTATTTTAAAAAATAAAGATATATGTCCACCTGCATTCTTTTGTTTACAAACCATCGGTTACTATGATTGTTATACATACATGCATTGGTTACCATATGTTTTGTCTTTTGGTGGTCTAGAAACCCTTAGTACCAGTACATGTACAAGTATTGGTATTTTTTTATGCAACTGGCACTACTCGTGAATCTCAGAAGTCCCCTCTGATTAGTGTCAACAAGAGTTGAAGCAGTTTGGCACAGTATGTCAGTCAAACGAGAGACTACATTGATTTAGCAGACTGTCACCTCTGGCCCTCTGTCTGACCTGCTTCCCAGCACAATTGTTTTTTAACTTAAAGACTGAGTTTCATGATGGTTAAATCTTCCTCATGGAATGTGACAGCTCTCACCTTTTCTCCGAGTTTCAGGTTTTGAAATTTCAAAAGGTTATCTTTGTCAAAAGTACTTGACTCAACGTCACACAAGCAAGAAAGAAAAGTGTGCTGGACACAGAAGGAATGGGAAATTCAAGAGGTGGTAACTTAAGGTTTTAACCAGATGTACCTTAAAAGTCTATAAAACCTCATTAAACCTGGAGACACGTGTAAACCCCCCCCACCTCATTCTCTTCCGAGGCAAACTTTTCTGCATTTGGCAGCATTCCGTTTCCTAAAATTACCCCATGCTGACAGAAATCTATTTCATAGTACATTCTTTCTGGGCGTTCACATACTTGAGCATGCAGGATTCTTACTACGATTTATGTCTTACGGTCGTAGGGTCACCGAGGCAGCTTCATCAGGGTTTCAGATCTCATGCCAAAACTTATCCTTCTATTTGACCCCTGCGAACACCACATACATTATCACACACCCTGCAGGGGCACATAGCGAAGACAAACACAGTCATAAATACAGTAATTGGAACACAATGCATGGGTGTATTGCAGTATCACTTGTTGCCTTGCCAGTTCCAGGGTAACCTGCAAAAGAAAAGGGCCACTGTGATAATGTTGCCCTAAGGGTTATCTTTCACACTTCAATCCCACTAAATAATAGGGGTGGAAATCAAAAAGTTTAACATTGAAGGTACCAATGCAGCATTTGTCATACGCACAATCCGTCGTTACTTGGCAACTTGGCCCAGAAACATTTAAAACCTTCTCAGGGGGGGGGAGCTAGATCCTGCCACTTTACACGTGCTTTAGGTGCTAACTGCAAATCAGTCACCACAACCCACTGTACCCTTATACAAGTACATGCACCTGTACATTTAGGTGCCCATTTTTATACCCTCTCAGTGAGGCTCATGGGTGGCGAAGAAACGCGCCCAAGGTCACAAGGTACTCGTTTGCCTATCACTGATGTGCAGTCCCTGACCCTAGAGTCGGGAATCAAAGATCCCATTTCAGGACTTGAATTTCAAGGGTTGGGGGGGCACTGCCATTTTGGCTTCAAGAAATGGGACATGTCATAAGGGGCACCTCGGCCAATAACAGGGGCAACAAGGCCAACATTTCTACAAAGGAAAGGCGCTGAGGCCATGGTGTTAAATTTCTGCAAAACGAGTATAGAAACTGGAAAAATGAAAAATGGTGTTTAATGTGCTTAAGCTGTCATGTTTAAATGTTTTATAAAAACCCCGTAATCACTCCCAACATTTCCTGTGACAAAGCATCATATAACATAACGAAACAGGCACATTTTCTGACAAAGGATTTCTTAATTTTAGAGAAAATTGATTCAGACATTTACAAACGAATTCCAGTGAATTAAACCATAGATTAAACAAAGCCACATGTTTTGCTTCAATTTTGACGCATCTTTTTCAACTGCAAAGTGCGATCTTACCAACCATGTGGCGTGAAGATGGTTGCGTACCGGTAGACCGCAACACAATGTGAATGTGAAGTTGGAAACTTAAGCGAAATACATTGTATACATACCGTATTGTTTCAAAGGGCACCACTGCCAGGAAGAATAGGGTACATGGCCAGTTTGGGCCGTGGACAAAGTGAAACTTTCAGGGCACCGCGGCCAATTGTAAGGGCACCGACTGCCATGGCCGTGACGGCTTTAGTGAAATACGAGCCCTGATTGTCATTTGGCGCCATGTTTAGATACAAGCGTACTTGTTAACTTGCTGTTTAAAATCATGCTTTGGACACACTTTTCTCGTAGTAGAATCTTTCCTGCCATTCTCTGTGGTAAACCTAATTTCCTCCCTCTTTTTTCTCCCAAAGCCGCTGCGCGTCCTGGCCAAAGTCATGAAGGAATGCTGGTACCACAGCGCTGCCGCCCGCCTGACGGCACTCCGCATCAAGAAGACCCTGGACAACCTACGGGTGGCTGAGGACGTCAAGTTATAGAGCCATGGTCCAAACCAGATGGGAGAATTCTGACGGCGATGCACTTCTTCGGCCCTGTTTTGTTTTTGTTTTTTCCCTCTGGAAGAAGATAAAGTGCGATCAGACTAAACTGAAAAAGTCAACGCACAACGTGATTGGTGCGTGCAGTTGCAAATCTAAAAAGAGGGGGAATATTGCAGGAAAGACTAGAACTGTGGATTTGCTGTCGCAGTGACAACAGGTGGAGCCATTTTCCTTGTTGATTTGCCGAGCAATCTTTGCATGGAATCAATTTGTGATGGAAGCACAGGAAATATATCCCAGTGCACAAGTGGGATGAGTTTTATCATTCTCCAGAGAATGAACGAGGGGGACTTGAATCGGCCTGTCCAGTTTGACATCGCAGCACTGGTATCAACTACGACTTTTGTGGAGGGTTTGGGAAACTGGATCTCCTCACATATTTACTCTTCACCCTTTCTGCAGTCACAAGGTTTTTTTTTCCTTCTTTATTCAACAAAAGCTTTGAACACATTGTGATCTGGATATACATGTATGTATGTAGTTTCCAAGTTGATTTGAGGGAAATAACAGTCCGTCTGCGTTGCTCGAGCCTTTAGCATCCCTTCAACAACCCAGTAGAAATCAAGCTTTGGAAAATTGAGACTGAATCCCCTAATCGGTGAGGTTGGAGTAGAAGCTGTGCTATATGCTCTTCCTTTTTAACAATTCAAGCATCACCCAAGGAAAGTGTACCATATTGTATATAGAATCTTGAGGATTTTCTTAAGAAAAATTCCTAATTTCATTTTATCTCTGGCGTTAGTCTGTATAATGTTTAGCAAGTAGGGGCCAATTTCTTGGAGATGGAAGCAGTAAAATACGTCAAGCACAGATGGCATTGCTTGGCAACAACACTATCGAACATACCATAAACTGATCGGCATGTACGCTGCTCTTGATTGATTCTCAGCTGACTTGCCAGAGCTTCCGCCGTCACTGTTCCATACAGTTGAACCTTAGAGGCAAATGCTGACGGAGACTTGGGCAGTGTGTATCTCAAGGCCAGTTCACACAGCCGGCGAATGCCGAAGCGTAGCGAATTCTACGTCATAAAATGTTTGCTGCAAATTTGGCTTTGAGTTGAATTGGTGCAGATTCGCCACGTGAATTTAGTCCAGTTTCATCATGAAATCACCGTTATATTTGCTATGATGAACGGATTCCGAGATTTCCAATTTCTGGAATCCTTAGGTTCTTCTTTGTTTTTCCACAAAGCCATCATTGTAACAAAATAATTTGTCTGGTCCCTGCAACTTTGTCATAGGGAGAGTCGACTTTATTTGATCTGTCGATGCCGGAGTCCGTTTGTCTTTGTTTTCATGCCAATTGTGAACTGGCTGTCAGATTGATTTTTTTTTCTTTCCCCCCCCCTCTTAAAATGTTCTGACTGCCTAGCTTTGACTTCAGAGAGAAAACTAAAATGAACAGTTGGTCCAGGCCTTGAAGTTGCTTGGACAATTGTCTAGGCAGCCTGACAGGGTTGCGTCTCGATAGATGCCATGAGGCAGACATATACCCCTGCCATGGATCCTCTGCTGCATGGGTTCTCTGGACAGAACCTTGTCAGGTGGTGCCAACCAGCATTTGTACGTACAGTATCAAGCAGCATATTTACAATATACGTATTCATCTGCATTCGTATAGATCTGCATGTGTTTAGACTTGGCCACATTCACTAGTTAACTATCTCATTTTGAACTCTTTTATATGTACATAAAAAGAAGAGGAAAGTTTGCATATTACATTAATGTCAAATTTTGTACGACATTCTCGTGACTTTTTTGGGTCAAGTTCACACTTGCAGATCCAGTGGTTACTGCGGGTACACACAGGCATGAAATGGAGCATTGTCGTTAATTGTAGTTTGATTTGTTTTGTGTATGAGTATGTTTCCCCATGAGTACCTCATTGCTTTGTTGTAAGTCATACATGTGTACATGTACCTCAAATGTCAGGGCATGATAAAACTTTGGATATTTTCCTGCTATGGGAGACTTTGAAATAGTTGGTGGTGGCGAACCCACTGGTCCTGTTCACCTTTCTGAGCATTGATCGTGTTCTGGGCATGTGTGTACAGTTCTGAGCACGTGCAGTACTGTGAAAAACGACCACTTTGTCTGCTGCCACCAGCTTCTCAAAGTCTCTTGCTTGACTGTAGTGCATCGTTTCCAAGGTGAGTCACCCACCATAGATTTCAGTTCAAACAATTATGCGTAACTGGAGGCCTTCCAACAAATGAGGGCAATATGTTCTTTTCTCCTACAGTCCTTGAAGATGCACCATCTATAGTACCTGGTTGAGTTTGAATGCGGGTTTGTTTGATACCCCAGGCTTTTTAATTAACCTGAAGTAACGGTGGACATAGTAATGCCTGTTGTGGGCGTGGCCTAACTTGATGGGCGTCACCAAAAAAGAGTCGGGACTTGCAAGGCTCTTGAATCGACCTAAGCCACAGGCGGCCATCTTACTGTGCCAAATACAAAGGTGATTGGTGGCTCATGGGCTTTGTAACTGTTGTTGCTACAAATAGTTTGGTTTTATGATGACAAACCAAGCTTTGTCTCAGCATTTTATTGGCAAGGTAAGATTGTCCTGTGTGTTTTCACTGACCTATTTGTGCCTATTAAGGGCACTGTGAGTCCAGACTTGTTTATGACATCCACGCCTAACAATAGCATTAGATATTGTGAATTGAGGAGGTTCATCCGAAGCATATTCAGGGATGTACATGTTAGTCTTGCAATAGCTCTATTCCAAGCTCCTCCGTTAAAAGTTTTAAAACAGGTTGGCCCACATACGTGTAAACTCTTCTTGTCTGTAACACAAAACACAGAAAAAAGACAGGCAGCCACATTAGCAGTGTTACCCCCAATGTTTAAACATTCTTATAAGAGAGTGAACCAACAGAGAACGTTACGTTCTCATAAAATTGCTGCATGGGTTCCTCTTGACAGGCAAAAAATTGACAGACCAAATTTCACCTGTCAGTTTTGACATCAAAATGGACATTTATTTTCATTTAAAAACTACTCCTCGGGGTTTAATCCAATTTCAGCCTCCATGGTGATATGTACGAAGAATATGTTTTGTGTTCTCAAAATGTGGCTAAAATGTGAAACCATCACGAAAACACTGAATGGGACAGTAATTTTCTGTTACCCTTCACTGTGCTCATGTGTCATGCCAGAAATTCCAAGCAAAAACTTCAAGTTGAAGAGCCCACTTCAATCCTGGTACTGTAAATTGGTCTAGAAGTCTTCAATGAGGTGAAAATCACTCTGTACAAAAAGACACGCCCTGCAAAAAAACTATAGGTATTCAAGCATTGGTGAGATACTTCACTTAGGATTCAATGGTGGGCTGGAGACATCCAAACCCCCCTTCCTCTTTCACACTGGACAGATAGGAGTTAAAACCACTTGTAGTCGTACCTACAGATGTCATTGGCTTTCCATGTTTCAATTCTGTTGGACTTCTCAAAATTAACAAATCAACACAAAGTCCAAGACCTTCTGGTTGCTATACAAATGTTCGCACATCCCATGGAATTAGGGTTAATATCCAGGGCTTAAAAATTACACTGCCAATCACTTTGTTTTCTGCCATCAGTCTCCGTCCATTTCTTCAAGGCTGTGTCCAGTTTCCTGGAGTTGCTCAGCGGAAGGCATTGCTTGGCAGATTTTCCTGTTAAGCAAAAATAAGCGGATAACCAATTTGAGCTAAACACAGTGGGTGTGGCATTTTAGCCAGAAACCTGTTCATGCTAAGCCTATATTTTTAACAACTTAACAATTTTCCCTGGTTAGTAAATGTCATTGACATGGAAAAACTTCAAGAGCAAAACATTGTAAAAAGAAATACCAACACAAGAATAGAAATCTCCCCATGTATGCAAGACATAGCATGTATACTACGCTTCAGAATAGTGTTTCTAATATTATGGCGACTCCATAGCCTGCCGTTAAAGGCAAATTCAACAATCTCTACTTACTAAAGACCTCATGTTCTGCAGTGCTGCATAGTTATTTGTTTCCTCTGCTTCCTGACCAGACTCGCTAGAGTCTTCTATTGACAGCGTCAATAATGATGGGCACCACCTTGTCTGTGTGTGTGCTTTGCTATGGTGCTGAGTGGACCTTGTGGTCCCCACTGACTCCATTGGAGTGATCAAAATGCAGCATGGAGGGAACTACATTTTCAAAGCCTGATTTATACCTGGGTTTTTTTTGGGGGGGGGGTTGAAAATCGTTTGACTTGTTCAAAACTAAAGTTCCTGGATTCTGGACGGTTAACCCCAAAATACATATGCAATGGTCCAATTTCCATCAAAGTGCATGTACAATTTGTACCCTAATGTACAATGTATGTGAAGATCCATTCAAAGTTAATGTCAGATATGACCACTGAGAAAGTGTGTCAGGGAACCAGTGGATGTCATGGTACCTGATGCACATTCAGAGAGAGGCTTTGCTTGTTCTTGCTTTTCGAATCAACATTAAATGTGAACATTATTAAGGAGTGCCTCATGTCCATGAATGCCGGTATGAAGACTGTACATGGATAGCGTACTGCCTCAAAGTCAAATCTCTGTGCACATTTGAATGGATTTGGGAATGCAAGACAGATGCCACTAGGCTATATCAAAAATTCCAGGCTGCGGGTACAAATAACACAGTGCCAATGGGAGCCACTGCCTTGCGGCTACACCCTCTTCCCATTGACTTGCTATTGTCTGCCGCAGCTAGTTGGTTCGGACACAACTTTCGTTTACATTGGGGGCTGGAAAATGTGCAGTACGGCAATTGTGCTGGACAGATCGTTGCCAGTTTGGGGAGATAGCAAGCATTTCACTGAGATGGGAGAGATTGGCCAAAGCGGAAGTGTTGACTTTCCTGCTCTTAGTGTAAATGTTTCTCAACCAGTGATTGCAAATTTGTGCTGATGGGGGGGGCAAGATAACAAAAAGCCTCAAATTGCCTGGCTTTGGAAATTTGAAAAACAAAGAAAGTTGGTAAGTTTAGAATAACCTCAAAATATAGATTTGTTTGTTTTCAAAATCTTTCCACCAGTAAGTGAAGGGGGTTCCTAACAGCCCATCCCCTCAGTCAAAAAGTGTGGAAGGGATGCCAGCGTTGCACACCCATGGGGTTCGCATTTTGAGAAATCTATTGTAAATTCAGGTGTTCCTTTTCAAAAAAATGAAATCAAGGGATGTTTGTCTGATACCTCAATATCTAATATACCTCAGCTGATTCATGCTCAGAAAAATCCAACAATTTGTACAAATGTGTACATTTTTAAAACTTTTATTCTAGATATGTGGAATATGTTTTTATTCCATTAAAAAATAGGAAAAGGCCAAATAATGTTGTTGAGCTCTTTAAGTTTGGGGGATGAAAGAGTAAATTGATGTTTTGTTGGGAGATGCTAAGTATGTAACAAAATCACCTGCTAGTCATGATCATTGTAAAAACAACAGTAACCTTGAAGATGTTGGATAATCAGTGATAAATGTCTATGATAGGGTCAACAGCTTCATTGTCATTTAGACATTTCTGTGTCTTCTGAATATGTGTAACATTGAAATTGGCGTAATGATTGTATTGCGGTTATGAGTGCAGTTTTGTAAAATGAAAACCTTGCTGCTCAGTTTGCGAGAAGTTTCAAGATTTTTTTGTAGAGTAATGTATAATATGAATTTTGCTTGACGTTGCTGCAGTTAATTGACGTTATTGTTAATCCTTTTGTTACTCCTTGTTTTTAGTGATTGTGGTATATCAAAATCAGGCACTTTTGGACAAAGGTCAGAAGTAAAATGTAAACTATACTGTTTCAAATGCTGCTTTTTTGATATTCCAAAATTTGGAAGTCGTACTGAAATTTCAGTTTGAATCTTTTGCAGATCATTTTAAACATTGGTAGTATCAAAAATGTGCAAAAATCTTAGAACATGAAATTAATCTGTGTCATTTCCGACTTTCTCCACATTTAGCTTTGCCCAAATTTGCCTGGTTGTGACAAAATCATGTCTTGTCTTCAGAAATCGTGTGGTGAAGCCAGATTTTGCATGGAAAAAGTAGACAGTGCTAATCCACACACTGTACATGTCACTTAAAATATGATGGACTGTATTGTCCGTCAGTAACAGGAGATTGACGTCACAGTCATCTTGGCCTTAACCAAAACAAACCCTTTGGTGACAAAAGGAATTAGATTAGCCAGTGATGTCTGTCACGTACTAGATTAGGCTCTTAATTTCTCATTCACTGGAACCTGTTCAAAGGCCGGATGGGACGTGAGCTATTTTGTAATTTCTCCCCAAAAAGGAATGGTCCAAGGCTGGCTTGGAGGAAAATTTATAGTGAGGTTCCACATTCAGGAGAACCTAGATCTGTTAACAGTACGTCCCTTTGAGAAGAAAAAGACTCCCCCCCACCTGCCCATTAAAAAAATAAATAAAACTTGAAAATGTCTGAATTCTGTAGATTGCTTACTTCATGGGGATTTTAAAGAGCTTTAGTCTCCAGCCCATGGTCCCAGCTTCTCCTCAAACTTGCTTGCCTCAGCCCAGATTTGCCATAGTGTTTGGCACCTGTTACATCAAGTTGTTGTTACAGGGTGCCATTGTTTTTCCCCATGCCAGTCTTTGACAAGATACAGGCATGACATTAAGTTTTGGGCATTTCTTCCTCGTTTAATTTAAAACCCTCAGACAGTTAAGTCAGAAAGATCAGAATAAACAAGCCTAAAATATATAGTCACAGGTGGTTGATATCAAAGATTAGGCCATTACCCTGAAGTAGTTTGCAGGAGTTACATGTAGCCTCGTCAGAAGGACTGTATTGAGCAAAATTAAACTTGCCATTGTTTATGTACCGGTACTTCGCTGCATATTGCTTGCGCTACTGTCTTAGTATTGTGGTCTAGTTCATCACAAGTCCTCAAGTCACAAGCATTTCACGGAAAAGCATTCCTTTTGTCGGTGTGCATCCCCAATCACAAAATGAGGGGATGGGCGTTTGGGACTTGGTCTGCTGGGACGATATAAAATCAGATATTGCAATATGAGACTTGTGAAGAAATTGCCAGGCAGGCACAAAATGACCTGTGACTGACAAGGGATTGACTGTAGTCACAGACTTAATTACAATTTTGCTATATGAATTTGTTTATCAGCAAGACAAATGTAAAGGACTTTTCGTAGTCGATGGAGTTGGCCATTGGTTTGTGGACTTGTGACTTCTGTGGTTCTATTTAAAGTGGATATTTTAGCTATTGAATTTACTGGAAGTCAAGCATGGGATGTATTATGACTGTAAATAGCATCTCTTGTAAACATAACCAATTGTTTCATTTGTTCAATAAATAATTGTGTACATAACCAAAATGTTTCCTGCAGCCTCCCTGTTGTGTTGTCTTAGCCAATTCTTTACAGCTTAACAAAGTCTTGAAAATTTGCTGAGCCAAAGTTCATTAAAAAAAAATGCACTTGAAGCACTTGCTCAAGATGAAGTATTTACAGAGTTACTACCCAAGGTATTAGATATTGACTAAACTTGAAAATTACCAACAGGACAGATAAAAGAAATCTCGAAAGTGAAATCATATTGCAAATTGCATGAGGGTAAAATTTGAGGTACTGGATTAGGAAATTTGTGTATTTATGAAAGCGGCAGTGCTAATTATGATCAATATGAAAAACATGGTTTGAAAGAAGACCGGAAGTGATTTTACAAAGAAAGAGTTTTAAAAGGTAAATCTAATATGAGAACAATTAAGACACAAAACTTGTCAGGAATTCTTTTTTTAGGTAGTATGGGAGGCGGGCCAATCCAGTGTTTTCCACATTTTAGGGCATAAGAATATGCATGGCTTTTAGAAAATACACGTACATCTGTATGTTCATATATCCATTTGATGCTGAAATCTTGAATATGTTGGGGGAAACTAAAATGAAGTGGAACTCCAAAAAGATTTGCTCATGCTTTCTCATTTTTGTTTCTATTTTATGTTTTTGTTTCATGTTACACTGGGTGACCATTTTTTATATTAAATTTATCTTGAGTAGTTTAACTCGGCAATACTCAAAGAAGCATGACCAGCATTACTTCTTCATTGGTTTGGAAAGTTCACGTGGATTGTATCAATGTAGTCTCTCCTCAAGATGCTGTTTTATTCCAGACGTGCATTTGCTTTTCCTGCACTTGAACATTTAGAACTAAAATTTGACTTCATGGAGGGGGCAGGGCTTACAACTATTTAGCAGATCTGTCTTATTTTGCAGGAAAGATTAACACGGCTTTTCACTCTCTTTTCCTAGTCATGGAATGGAGCCACTCATTTTCCCGATCATATTTATTACATCAGGCAAGTTCTATAGATCACAATGTCGTCCGGGAGTCTGGTTGTTTCTTGATCCACGTGTCTGGTGGCAGAGTCTTTGGCAACGAGCTGAAAACATCTGCTGAACTGATTGGACACGTGCCAAGGCAAATCGCTTCTATGGAAGGATCGAGGAATGCCAATCTGGGCCACATTGTGGTAACTTGAAGGAGGTAATGTTGTTGATCCGTTCCCAGTGAGGTTACCAATAGAATGAATTCTTTTAAAGGAGGGGGGGAGTGCACTTTTTTTCAAGAGGGTACTGCAAGCACATTAACTGTAGCTTGTGCACAGGCTGTGTACACTTCCAAATTTTAAATAGAAGGGGGGGCAGCAGGGGCCCAGGGACTTGCTCCTTTGTTAATATGCCACTCCTCATTCCAGGAGAAGACACCACTTTCAACCCAGTCATTTTGGTGTGCCTTTGCTTGCTGTATCATCTTCGTCAGCTTCTCATTGATCAAAGGCTTCTTCCATGCCTGGTGTGACTTCAGGACAGCAACCCACGAGTTTGTTACGGACTGCCCTTGCTGAATATGTTACATTAGTCACAGCCTCTCACTCCTTAAAGGTCACTGGAGGTCAAATGATAATTCCTCAGGCTTGAACGGATGAGACAGTGGACATCCCGTACAGCAGATACATGTCTCCCTCTCCATCCACCGGGCTGCAGTTAGGTGTTTACGGGCTCCTTATGCCTCATTTTAGCGTAGTCTCATAAACAGGGAACTATTTATTCACCAGTTTCTTAAATTACTGTAGCCTTGTTCTGGTGGTATCGGAATGAAAGTCTTTGTTGCATCGCTCTCAGAGGTTGAAAAGTATACCACATAATTATGGTAATCTGAAACAATTTCTAATGTTTGGATACGGTATGGATAGGTAATTTAGAAAAAAGGATCATCAAAGGAGACAACCGAAACCATCCAAACGGGATTTAAGAAAATGTATCAAATGTCATTCGGACAATCTTGAATCATTTAAGTATTGTATATTAACCAGTAATAATGTGATAAAATATAAGTGCTCCAACAATTTTCCAGAGCTGTGTGTCTTTAAATGACAATTTTTTTTTCATTTAATTAACTGCTTTGTGCTGTTCTGTGTAGATTCATATTTAGTTTGTTGGTCGGCTTGTTTGGCTTTGTCTACTTGATTGGTTGGTTGATTTGGGGGGCACTTAAGAGGGGCTGGAATGTGTCAAGGAACATTTCCGGGCCAATTCTGGACTAATGTTGTTGATGCATGCACACCACTCAACAAAACCTTTTGCAACTCACAAGATGTCTGCTACAATACAGTAAATATTTCAACTAGTATACGGATATATATTTTCATCTGAGCATAACACTAATCAACCAACTGCTCATGTACAGTAGTACTTGTATGGTAATGCATGAATACACAAACTGCAGCAGATGGGATTATTTTACACCAGATGTCTCTGCTAAGTCCCAGGTCCCAGACAAGAGACAAACAAACGACTCCATTTTCCTATTACATTACTTTTTTTTTTAACGAGACACGAGACAGTGCTCGTCCCAGGCCTGTGAAAATAAAAGCGTGCATTCTTTTGCTTTGAATGCGAGCATGATGTGGGCAGTGTCCTGGATTGTGCAATTTTCTGGACTATTGTTAAAGTACATTAGCACTGTCAAACTGGACCCTACTCAAGTCTACTGCTTCTTCTTGACAATTTAGTACTCTACGGTAACTTTGCAAGTTTGCAGCATCAAATGTCCACGCCAAGTGGTTCCTGAGTGTAAAAAAACAATAAAAATGCATTTTAGAAATGCATTCAATTTCATCCTGTGGGCAGTTGCTATAATAGTGACGTATTGACACTGGTTTTCATTGCCATTACAAATTCACCCTTTTGGGGGTGTGGCAGCCATTTTACAAATAGGAGGCCTTCATTATGCCCATTGTGCCATAGCTGTGTCAACCATCAAAAACATTTTCTTTCATAAAGATGTCTGTGCGAAGTTCTCTGTAAAAATCTGCCACAATTGTTTACTCAGCATGTCACCATTCACTAATTCCTTTTGACCTCAACAGTACAGCGTGGGTGCATTCTTAGAACCTTTCCAAAGGCCTTTTGTATAGGTACTTAATCCGTGCCCAGCCCCAGTCCAACACTATTGCTATGTGTTCATTTAGCATTGCAATTCAGGACTGAAAACCATCCTCCTTCATAGCTAAGCTTTTGTGCAAACAGCACCTCTATATAGGTTGACAGAGTCCTGTTCTACTGAAGTGCACCATAGAACTATTAAATGCAATAGCTGCATGGAAATACCATCTGAAGGCAGGGCACTACTCTTATCGCATACAAAAACAAAGTTTCAAGTCCATATTGCCAAATACGGGTACAAAGACTTAGTACACACACAGTTTGCCAATTGATGTGAATAATGCTGATATTCTACAAAACACTATATACACGAAAATCCGTTTTCAGCCTAATTCAAACACAATGCTTACGAACAAAAATAGCCCAGTGATTACTTTTTTAATACGAGCATTTAGCATTAAAGTATGAATACAATGATTGACAACCATTTTGAATGAATACAAACTCCACAACAGTAAACATTATTTGGGACTGACACTCCCAAGCAGCTTGATGCTTCCATGGAGGAAGGATTCCTCCATGATACTGCTAACTTCCAATACACGCAATGCACTGAAAGCACGCTCAGAACAAGTAAGCACTGTACATTTTTGCAAATGTGCATGTACAAGTACGTTTGTAATTTCTTACATTGGTTTTACTGTTGAATACATACTGCGGGTTAAAAATACCAGAGCATTAACTCATTTTGTAAAGTGAACCCTGCTGGCTACATCCATGCGCAATCCATGAATTAGTGCAGATTTAGCATGGCTAATTGCATATCTGCATAAACTATATTCTCCACTACATGTAGTATGCATGTACACTAGAGATGAAGTTTGCTGAAGTTTGCATGCTTACATAGTATATTATACATGTACTTGGGCAATACACATATAACACAATGTTTGAGATTCAGTCCATCTGATCTTATGTTCTACAAATACACACATGAACTTACACATGTAATCTGTGCTCTTCAGAATGGCTTCAAGGTCTTTGTGCGCAATGGAATAACGAGTTAGATCTCTAGTAATTTGATACAGCCCTATGATCAAACATTATCCATGTACATGTACGAGTACATGTAGCTTTCCTTTAAAAATGAGGGTAATTTAAGATGTCCTACTGATTTGCTGTGCTAATAATCTGTTTACTGTATCTACCCTCAAGATGGTGGAACACTGCCATTGTTTCTTGGTGATACATGTTGGTCTGGCATTCTAAATGTATGCACTGAATGTGCACTGTTGGTTTCCTGTGCACCCACAGTGTCAGTATTGAGAGATTCAGGATTTGAAAACGCACCTACTGTACATGTACATGCATATATTGTATGTACAAAGGAGTTCAAATGTCAGTCTTTGCACAGATTTCAATGCTCTCTATGCACAACATGCAAAGGAATGCAATCAAGAGATGCCTGAAATTATCCAACGCAATCCAACAGAATTCCTTGCTGATGGATTTGTCTGGAAACTGCACTCGTGGTAATAGTTAATTGTACTAAAATGCGCAGAGGTACATGGGTGAGCTTCTCACATAATCACAAACGTGTTGTTCTTTCCTTGAGGTTTCCAGCATATTAACCCATCCTTTCTTATTCTTTATCTCCATGAATGGGCAAATGGCAGCACTCAGGAAAGCTTTTACTGGAGAGCCCAGAGACCTGCAGATACGTGTTTTCTTTTAAAGCACACTTCTGAAAAAGCTGGGTTCACATTCATTATTTTGTAAGTGACTTGTGGAAAAATATAATCTACTTTCAAATTTTGTACAATGTCAATCAGGAGACCTGGTACAGAAAAAACACTGCATGTGTAAAACTGCATGAGCTCTTTAAAAGATACTTGCTCGGACAGATCTTCCTTCTCACGGAAGCCAAAAACAATAGATGTTAATCGACCAAAAGACTAGCGTTTCAAAAAAATTGAACTTGGCAGTACTCTTTAATTTCAGTGATACATAAATCAATGTTGCTAAGCAACATATCATCCCCACAGACATTCTGTACTTTTATTAAAATGCAAATCCATCTGTTCCACAGCTACAGGCTGATGGGAGACTTCCACTAATAGTACCTTGGACTGTTACAAATTTGTCAAGAATACACACGGTAAAATCATCACACACATAAATCCTCAATTTAAGATAAAGTACCCCTATGATATACGCATACGTGTACTCTTCTTTGGTTATACAATTTAACACTGGTCAGGAAAGGTTTTGTCTTAACAACTTTGACTACAGAACAGACCCCTGCTAAACCCACGTATACTGCAGTAGAACCTTGAAAATGTCTTGGAAAAGTTGGCAGACCTGCAGTGTATTCCCTGTACATGTATTTCCAGACAGATCCTTTCCTGATCCTTTTATATCCACTAGGGAGCCTTTGAGGAATTTGAGGGGACTATGGAAGATAGTGTCCAGCCAGTGGACAATACTTGGGATGTCATATGAAGGTCACTATTATTGACCTGATGCATAAGATAGCTTTTCCAGTCATCTGTCATGATGAAATGATGCCATAGTGTGTGTACACCATTGGTTTCCCATATAGTGGAGGATTTGGTGGGGACTTCAGCAAGCTTAAGTCAACTTGGCTGGGGAAATGGGTCTAGGCATGATTTGTAGAGCTTAATGTATTAAACTAAAATTCAACGTCAATGTGTGCAACTAAAATTCAGAAAGCAGTAAATTATGCAATATTTCACTAAAACTGTTTCGAGTATACAAGCTATTTGTGAACTAAATCATATATTATTTGTACATGTATGTCTTGTGCATATAGAAGGACCTCAAATATATGAACTTGAGTACTTATATGCTTTGAACCCTCCCTTCCCTATCCCCCTACCCCCCCTACCAGCAAAGCGACAGGCTGTTAGGAAAAATGTGAACTTGGTGAAGGGCACACGTGCTAAAACGCTAGATTTGAACAGAAGTCGGTCTCCCGCACCAAACGTGCATGTGACTATGCGAGCCTGTGACACGTTGTCACTAAAGTTCCTTCTCTCATTCCTTAACCCTACCCCCCCCCAAGGGTTGCTGGCCCTAACCTTCTCCATTCACACAAAGTGAAACACCCGTATCGGACTTTGTGTACAGAGGCTGTTGGACTTTGTTTTTCTGAGGTATGCCAAACCCAATGCAAAAGCCAGCTGTTATGGGCCTACCAGACCTATCCCCACAGAATTAAACACTTTACTACTGTTTAATTCTGTGTGGTTGGAAGGTTAGGGCTAAGGAGCGGGCAGACCACCTCATCAAGTGCTGCCCTGGGGTGTTTTGACAGTTGTGACGCATACGCCAAAGTGTGACATGTGTGCATCTGCCAGTTAACGTTTGCGGCCGACATATATGCAGTGTGGTTATGGGAGACAGCAGCATGAGCTACAGTTATTGGCCCATGTGCAAAGTTGGAGGGACCTATTGAATTGTCCATCACCTACAAACAATCACAAAACCCGACATCAGTCACATCTCTTTTTTAAAAAAAAGGTCAGCGCTATTGCTGATCCATAGACTTAGACTTGTAGTTCAAGTCGCGTGAAAAATATGATACCCAATTGTCATTAAGTACATGTATTACGTAGAGCAGCACGTTCGCGATGCAACATTCACAAGACATTTCGCAATTTATCCTACACAGTACTTCAGTACTGAATTACTTTCTTAATCAATTTTAAAATTTGATGAATGAGTTGCTAATTATTTATGCCATGCTACTACATTGTACCACACAGATTATACCTTTAGGTATATTTACACACACAGAGAACACCATTATCAAATTCAGAGATTGACAATCTACATACCTGTATATTAAATGAATATCTAATCAGTAAATAGCTTACTACATTTATAATTCAGTCAAAGCCATGCGCATATTCACCCTAACCCTCCCAGAGAATATTTAAGATTGCATTGACCAGTACTTTACACAAAGCTTGATGCTCTAAAAAATCTTAAGGTTAGGATGTGCAACCCTGTGGTCAGGGTTTGTAACTCACCATCATAGGGTCAGGTGTTCAAATTCAGAAATGGGTGTATACGTACTCCCGGGGAACAAGGGGAGATGATGGTTGCTGTGCTTGATAAGCCATGTGCCATAAGCCATGTGCCATGTGCTATAAGCCATGCTTGATAAGCCATGTGCACTTTAAATGGCAGCATTGAGCTATATACATGTACGTGCTCTACCCACAGATTTCAGGAATGCTTCTGATAGTGGTCTGGTGAAAAGGGATTATAATGTTTGGTGCCTCGAGCAACAGTACCAGTGAAAGTGGATAACAAAAGATATGCCATTGGTTTCTGGCACAGTGAAGGATTTTGGAGGATTCGGGAAGGTTCCAGGTAAAAAATAGCTTTATGGTAGGGTTAAGGCACAGCAAACCGGTGATAAGGGATACACAAGCTACCGGTCTAAGGTTGATCTATCGGGTCGATGGGGTTGTCATGAAGTTTCAATTTACTGATCTTGAGATCGTCGGGCGATGTTTCCACACGGTTGTGCTGTACCCACAATTCTTCCAGCTTCATCTGGCCCACCTCGGCGGGGACATCGGTGATCTTGTTGTAGTCCAGGACCAGGATCCGCAGCCCGGTCATCTTGGTGATCTCTGGTGGGATGACCTGGACGCTGTTGTGTTGCATGTGGAGCTCCCGGAGGCGGGGCATCTTGAATACGACTGGTGGGATGGCGTCAAACTTGTTGTTGTCTAGAATCAGCTCCTGCAGCTCGTCTAGATCCTCCATCTCGTCTGGGAGCGTGGACAGCTGATTGCCGCTCAGGTTGAGCGAGCGCAGGCCGGCTAACTGGCCGATTGAGGGCGGCAGGGTGGTGAACTGGTTGTTGGTCAGGATGAGGAACTCAAGCCTCTTCAGGCCCTTCAACTGCTCCGGGAGCTCGCTGATCTGGTTGTTGCTGACGTTGATGCCGATCAGCCGGCGGCCCTGGTTGTTGTCGATGGTAGGGATCTCATCTAGGCTCTCGCCCGCCATGATGAGGGCGGGACCTAAGTTACCATCCTTGTCCAGCTGCTGCTCATAGTTGAGTCTCTTCTTCCCCCTATACATGACTACTCCTGCAATATGTGGATTTCTTGGTGGGTTCTTTCGACAATAATTACACCTGTCATAAGGGAACATTGAACAAATCAGTGATAAGACCTTCATTTCTCCAACTTTTTTTATCATTTTCACGTGAAATAGAGCCTCTCAGTTTCTGTAACGTCATACACATCATGATAGCCAAGATAGATACACTGTACAGTCAACACAGCATTATGCTGTGGGCATCAAACACCATTGTGCGTACAATGCTGTGACAGCATTACATATGACGATCATATCACTGTTGGCTAGCCAAACTAGCCACTTTGTGAAAAATATGACCAAAACAATTTTCCTCAAATCATGCTGAACACATTTTTTTTCAAGTTGAATACACTTATCTTCAATGAAAATACAAGGTGAGATGAAAATCTGTGAGGGAAGAGATCCAAGTATGGACATCGCCAATTTTCCAAAGTGATTTCTCAGCCACCAGAAAGTGATAATACGGGAAAGAGTTCCATGCCAACTAATGACTTATTAGCTGTCAGAAAGCAACAATGTAGGAAAAAAAACCCAAGTTGATTATCGTTGATTTACCCTAACGTAGCACAGCCCCTGATGTGGCCCACTTTCATTTCTTGCCTCTTGTGTCTTACTGGACATGCTGGAGCAATATTTTTACCTCAAATTTCACAATCAGTAAAACTTTATCTAACTCCTATTATTCTGATTCATAAATTGAAATTTTCGTGTATCTGCTAAAAAGTTCTGATGAAATTTCATTATCACCTGATGTTACAAATTTATTATCACCTGATGTTACGAATTTTTCTGACGCGCAAAATGAATGCTTCTAGAATGTGCTCAAAAATATGAAAATAATCTTCTATTTTTCAGACCAGTTACCAGGGGTTTGTCCTTTTCTCAACAAGTATGACAGGCCGGATGTCAAGTGATGTCTGTGTTTAGTTTAGAATGCTCTGTCAATGTCATGTCTATGGCCGAAGTTGGGCGGGGCTCTGTTTTCCAGAGCGCGTGTACATGGAGTACATGTAACATGTATGGGTGTGGGAGAGCCACGGGTAGGGGTTCGTCGTCCGCCGCGCTTCCATGGCATGCATCGAACGTAGCGTGTTGTCCTTGTTAAAAATAGCAGACGCCGAACTCAAGCGTGTAGGGTACACACGTAAGCCATTAACGCGATCCGCCGTCAAAGATGAGAGTTGTGCGGGACTGTTTCTAGCAGCTGTCTAAACATACGCCAACATCTGTCCGACGTCATAATCTTACCTTTTTCGAAAGTGCTGATATTTGCAAGAGTTTGGCCCAAGACAGCTTCAAAAATACGACAAAAACATGAAAAGTTCTACAGGCGCGGTGGGTTTCGGTGATCTAGTCAGAGACCTGACCCGTCCGTGTGAAACTATCGTTGAGTTCCGTGAATGGCGCTTGGGTGCTTGTCTTGAACTTGATAAAACTGGCCGCGAGAGGTCGCTCTCCGTTGTGAAAGATGAAGGGGCGTGACAAAAGTGGTTAATTTTAAAAGGGGGTGGGGTGGGTGGTACTGTAACTATGTTCGCATCATTCGAGTGCAGTACCAGTATATAAAGTGCAAATGGGAACAGAAAGAGAAACTGTTTTCCTGAAATAGTTTCAGCAAAGTATTTGGCACGATTTGGGTTTTTAAGCAATTCTTCTGGCATCATTTCTAAAAAGAGGACTCACACATACATGTATCTGCATTTTACTTTTTGGCTATAATGCATTGCTTCAGTTTGTACAAAATTAATTCAAATTGAAGATGCTGGTAACTACTTTGGGTTTTTAAGGTGAGGGAACCACAGAGGGACAAGATGACAAACACGAGGGCTATTTCTCTTTCAAAAACTTTGTGAAATTTAAACAAAACATCTTCAAAATTTAGTCTTCTATTGCACTTTCAAAATCTAAATATTGTACAAAAATCATAGACAATCTAAACAAAAGGTTCCAAGTAAAAAAATAAGACAAACTATCACTGTAGACACTAGACAGTGCTCCTCTCATACTCCACTTAAAAACCTTTCTTCGAAACACTCCCCCACAAATGTAGTGCATGAAACCCGAAAAAGGTGTTTCAGATGTGCTATACAAGTATTTCATATTCCTTTGTGGGATGGATCAAATATCTTTGTGTCAGTCAGTCCTGCTGGTTAATTTCAAAATGTCCAAAAGTTCATGTCAGCGTTAGGGGTACATCTACTGTAAGTGAACCACTTGATACAGTGTCTGAAAACGTGAAGTTTCTAGAAACTTCAACCTGGAACAGGGCCTTGTTTCGTTTATCTGTGGGTATGCACTCAAACACTGGAACAGGCATTCTTTAGGAAAAAAGAAACATAGAGTGCAAATTTATTTAATTCACTTCCAACTTGAGTACCCCGAAAGGAAAAGTAGCATATTTGTCAAGTTTTGAGACCATTCCTAAACTAGGCCCTCAGTGACGCAAATAATTTCCCCAATGACCTGCTGTGGATCTACACACAAGCTTCCAGTTTCTAGCCGGCAAAAATCTTCATTTTCTCTCAGTGATTCCAAGATCATTCCAATACGACACAGATCAAATATCATATGCCATACTGTGGACCATCTGGATGTGGTATCACTATCACAGATACATGTACATTCTTCAGAACATGGTGATGAAGGCTGATTTGGGTCAGCACTGCCCGTGTGGTCGTTAGTAGCTCTGTCCATATCACTTGGCGTAGCTGTTTCATCGGTGTTTGACAGAATTCTTCCTGCACCTCGTGCGCAATGGGAGGACTGCCCCTCCAACTCTACTGTGCCTCGGGAATCTTCAACTGAAGAAGGTTTCAGGATTTCCCCACTGACAGTAGATTCAACTGTTCTTTCAGGATTTCCTGATGACAATCTTGTATTGAGACCATGAAGCTCCTGGGATCTCTTGGAGCGATCAAGAGGTTTGTCGGGCTTGCTGTGTCTGCTGTTTGAACATTTTCTTGAGCTCTCACTGTAAAGCCGCAATTGGTCAAGACGAGGCTCAGCCACTGTCCACAGCAACTGCAAGAATTCTGGGTAGTCTATTCCAGTGTTGGCTTTCATTATCATCTGAAATCATATACGGACGAAAACAGGGCTATAACAGTGGCAGAAGGTCAGTGCAGAGACAACACAAAGAAACTCCATCATGGCTTTAAGCCTGCGTCAATTATGTAGGAGCTAAGAATAAAGCCTGGATTCCAAATCAACACAGAGATGCAAATAGCATCACTGATCAGTTCCCCGATGATATGCAATCATATGGGAATGCTTTTTCGCAACCGACGCAAACAGGGACGGCGATAGTCGGTGAAGTTGAAGCCTATTCTAGTGACTATGTTGAGGCACCAGAATAGGCCTGTACAAATACACATGCTGGTATGATGGATGTACAACAATGCCTTCCTTGAATAGTACCACTCATTTTGCCCATTTTCTTGTTACTAACATAGTTGTATGTTGCCCCAATTTTAGACAAAATAGCTGACCATAAACAAAACCCATTAAAGTGGCATATCATTTTGGCTTCAAGAAGCAGTATTTCTGCCTAAAACAGCATATTCATTTTATGTTTCCGACACCATTTTGTAAAACTTTTTCCTGAAATGACGTCACGGTGTCTCTTCCATGACTGACTACTCGTTACTGTCTTGCATGCTGTCAGTGTTCGTTACGGCTATATGGAAACCAGGCTTAAATCTTTGCCTTGTGAATGGACAACTAGAGCTCAGTTGTATTGGCCTAAAGACAGAACAGTGTAGTTGTAAAATACATGTACTATGTGGCTTGCCATCGAGAGAATGGTAGAGTGAGAAAGCCTGCAAGAATCGATAGCAAAATTAATGCAAACAAAATAGTGGGATTTTTAAATACTTTAACACTGTTTAAGACTTTAGAAGTAGGTCCTGAAGACTGCAGTTTCAAGGACTACCTGGCACTGTAGGTCTGAGGCCTACCTGACATTTGTAGGTCTGAGGCCCACTGAACACTGTAGGTTCTAGGCCAACATGATGATGGGGTCAAAGGCCTATATGAAGCTGTGGGGAGGGGGGGCTGTGGGAGCCTACCTCCAAAATTGTATGCCCTCCCCCTTCAAAAAAATGCAAAAATAAAAAAAGGCTGGAAAATATTGGATTTGCAATAGCAAATGTTAAAAGGTCATGTCACATGCAAAGGGCCTAGCATCCCCCAACAATTGACTCTAGAACCGTGCCTGGTCCGAGGCCTGCCTGACACTACAGGCCCACTTGACGCCCTAGGCCTACCTGACACTGCAGGTCCCAGCCCTCCATATCTCTGCAGTCACTAATGGACTTCTTGACCAAAGCCAGTTCTTGTTGCAAAAATGCCCAGGTGATGTCCAGATTACATCCATTCAGCCAATTGTGGTTGATAGAGATAGTATCTTCCTGTAAAATCAAGGAAGTAACCGACTCAGTACTGGTGCATGATTTCACCCAGTGCACTACTTTAATGGAAAATTCTCTTTAGACTTATGAGTATTTAGCTGACAACCAACTTTGGCAAGAACCAAGAAAGAATTTAAAGGATTCTTTTAAGCCTGCTGTTGGAAAAAATGGGTGTTTAAAAATGGAAACTTACAATGTTAAAAACTTGGTGATGCCATCCACTCGGTACAAAAATAACCTCGCCTGGCTCCTGAATGACCTCAAATGGCTTGCAGGCTTTGTGGTAATCGGGATATTTATTTGGATTGTGTAGTTCAGGAGAGGTGGCATCGTACACCAGATTGCCCAAGACATCCCTGAGGCAGTCCTCCTGACCCGGGGGGTACAGAAGCCATCTCTTGCGGCCGCAGACGTTTGCCGACCAGGAATAGGAGCGGAAAACGTCAGCATGGAAAGGGGTCCTGTGTTTAGAAAAGAAAATCAAAATTGAAGCTTGCCGCTGGGCTGCGATAGATACCTGGAAACTTAATACGTCATGAAAATTGGCGGGTATCTGGATTTGTCTTGTTTGGTTTTATATCACGTGAAAGGTAGAACAATTTGCAGGGAATCTCGTGACACAAGCGATATATCTACGATATTGTTTTGCTCTTTTTTGGTTTTAAAGAAAACTACCTTCCCATGGAAACTTTGCTGTCCAGAAATTGGCCACTCTGGCAATTCCCTATAAGTACATGTAGATAATTGTATCTATCCTTGCAGGTGACTTGCCGCAATGTATCGACATGTAACCACCTGCCAGGTGTCAAACGACCCCATGATTAGAAACTACAAACCCTAACCACTAGGCTGCATGTTCCTTAATAGACCACGACAATGTGGTAGGCCCACATCCGCAGCCAATAAGCCCCAGCTGCACAGGGCACCTGATGCTTTGTTTCTCTTTTCCACACATTTATGGGTTAAATTTCAACTTTTGAACACTAAAGACATCCCAATATGTATTCCTGGGCACCTATGTCTCAGATGTAGTTTCTCATTGACTAAATGATTGCTCAAAAAAAAAAAAAGGACCCTTTAACCCCAAGTGCCCTACGTGCACTCAGGTCAAAACACCTGCCATTGTAGTATTTAATACACCTGTAGAATCAGAGTTGTATATTGCAATTAGATGTTCCCTTAATAAAAATAGACCATACGTTTACTGCATCTGATTTAGGCTACTGCAAAAACCACAGGTGAGATTAAGGAATGAAGAGAATTTTGAAATAAAGACAGCAATAAAATAAAAACTTTGCAATAAAAACGGGGGAGGGTTTACACGCTAACATGACATGAATTTTATGCCTAATGTCTATGCTAAACAGAATCTCACACATGTTTATATGTACAGAGAGCGAAGAAATAGCAAAATTTGAATAATTAAATCTCTAAAAAGTCTAGAATATGGGAACAAAAATCTACAAATTGGGTAAAACTTGAGAAATCACATTCATGCAGGAGGTTTTTGAGCAAAGTACTGAAGAGTCCAGAGTTGAGGAGTATCTTGCAGTGTGTGTATTACTTACCAAGAACCCTTAGGGCCCATGTAGACAAAGCGGTAGTCGTCCGATGTCTGGCCGGGCCTTTTGTCCCAGTACTCGTTCATCCAGTCAGATGTGAAAAAGACAGGTGTCCTGTAAGCCTTGTAATCTGGGAAGGATCTGTGTTTGGTTTGCGGAAAGGAAAAACCACAGTTGATAGATTATTAGACTGGGGGCCGAAGGAAGGGGTGAGTGGTGAAGTACATTTACCCTGTATGTTATGGTAATCTAATAAATCACACGGGGAAACCGAAGGGGTTGGACAAAGACTATCTTTGAATAACTGAACCTCTCTGCCATGTCCATCATTAATTCTGGTCTAACCCTTGCATAAATGGAACGTATGTGTTAAAATGGCTGGTGCGTGGCAACCCTGCATAAAAGCTGAGTTCGGGCGGCTTGTTCCCGTATGTTCACGAACAGCTCAATTTGTTGTTCGTGGGTTGGCTGCTTGAACGCTAGGAACAAATAACCGGTTATCGCTGGTAGTTAGTGACAAGCAACATGCAACATGGCGCCGTCCATGTAGGCTACGTTAACCCTCTTAGAATTAATGTTTGGATGGGCTGAATTCTTTTCTATATGAACAGGAACATTCATTTCTGTGTTACAGAAAATTATTAATGTTGATTTTGTAAAACGTCCCATTGTCTATGGCTTTGGAAGCCATCTCTCTACTTTTTGCAGCCGTTCAAAAATCAAAATCTCACGAGTTTTTCCGTGTGTTCCTGTAAAATGCTGGCGAGGGGGTGGTGTGTGATCCTAATCCGAGAACAGTGTTCTTGAGTCATGTTCCCGCCGTTCGAGCGTCAGAACAAGGAACCCGTGTCGAGAACAGGCCGCCCGAACTCGACCAAAGAAACTAACAAAAAGGATTGAATAGTTACGATGGGTTATGTAATCAAATCACACTTCAGTCCATATTTGCCGTTACATGTTGCATGGACAACACAATTACAAATTGACTGCGGTAAACTCCTAAGTCAACACATTCTAAATAGCATGAGACAATTTCCAGGCAGATTGTCTTCCATAGCTTCAGACTATGACTGTAGCTTAAGACGAAGAAGATAATTCCGCATGTCACTGGTGTACTTTCCAGGTCAGGGAAAAATTTTGGCTTATGTACTGAGGTTACATCCAGTAAAACTAAAAATGTTTTGCTTACAAGCTCATGCAGAATTTCTGTACAAACACTTTGAGAGTGTCAGTCATTCCAGATCAACACGCATGTGCCACACCAG